CAAGATAATGACCGTAATATGGCAGCAAACAAACCATTACAGAGAGCAAGAGAGACTTGAGGTAGCTACCCCTCCCCCCCCCTTACTACCACCTCTCTATCACCCCTCTTATCACCCTCCATGTGGCTCATCTGACCCACATGTGGGGATGGAGGTCAGTAAGTTACTACTGGTGCCAGATATAGAGGCAAATGTAGGGGAAGCGGCTGTCATCTGGGGCACTTGTAGAGCGGCGCCACCGGGGTGAAGTATCGCAGTGGCACAGCCTCCTCTGGTTGATGTTATGTTGTGCCGACAGTACCAACTGGCCCTGTGTTGGTGATTCGGCAAGAAATTCACCGTGTACACCGGCCCTCTCGAGTATAATAGGCTTAGTTCAGCCTGGCCCAGTGGTAGGCTTGATGCTGTGAGCCGCTAGCAGGGGAGGGACGCCTCATTTACCGTCGCTAAATAACAGCTGGGATGACCCATTCCCCACATACTTACCGTGACAACATACGTCTGCGTCTCACCGTCTGTATGGTGCACCACGACCTGTTCTATATGAAGACTGTGACACACATTTCTAATGTTGATAATGAGCTTATATATATATATATATATATATATATATATATATATATATATATATATATATATATATATATATATATATATATATATATATATATATATATATATATATATATATATCTATGTTTGTCTTTGGTACCCCCAAAATGTTCTACACTACTGAGGGTATACACAAACACTTGTTATCTTGAAAATAGGTTCTTATTCTCGTACGGGAGATATACAGAGGAACTAATGAGACAGAGCACTTCCACACCATAAGGACTGGTGATCTCCACTCTTTGTATCCCTGCGTGCTGGCATGTACAGATGCCAGCATTTACAAGCTGAATACATAAATGTAAATATGATAATTATCATATGAATTATAATTCATATACATAACATGGTGCACAATAAATGGAAAAATTACATAGGATTAATACATGTTCTGTAATACTTTACTATACATAATTAATAGAGTAATATAAGAATACACAGGTTAAGGTACTACTTCGTGTCCATATTATACAATATATATTATACACATTCAGGTAGACAGAAAGATAATGGCACAAGTTATTGTTGGAGAGAATCCAGAAAGTTTAAGTCAAGCTTGAAGTAAACACTTCATATTTCAGCAGACTGGGAGTTAGGAGTCTACAGGATGAGATCGTCGAGTAATAAACTTGACTATCTTGACTCCACCATACTGATAAGAACAAGGTATGGTGTCCGTCTTCATGTACACTATAATTCGTCCCCAAAATTTTAATATCAGGTGACACAAGAAGGTACAAAGACCCAGTCACCTGAGACAACAACAATAAGATAACAACTATATACTATAATGGAGAGTTTTTATGGTCTCTCCCTCTAAACACAAACTTTTACCCCGAAAATATTTTAAAAACAAGTGGATTTTCTTGCGTGTCTGTATACCTCCTAACACGCGCCATCTTTTCCCTTTGATATGAAAGACAAGACAATTTTCTACGAGCCCATGTGTTTTCCCCCAAGCAAGACTGTTGTGATGAAGATGTTTCCCTGATGGTTGTCTCTCTGGCGGTAGTTACACAGTCCAGTACATTAACAATACCTGGTGGATGAGTTTGACTTACTGTGTTACCTAGTGGGCTGGTGACCTGTGGAGTGTAAGTGTGTATCCAGGTGACTCACTTACTTGACCACATTCCTTACGCTCTCCTCTTAATCTTTGTTTCTGAATCTCTTGAGTCAAACTGGTGGTGTTTTTACCGAGGGTGATATTTCTTAGAGTCAAGAGGATGTCGCTGTAGAGTTAACATTCGGTAGGAGGCGAGTGTCTAAACAGCCTCAGATATTTTGTAACCACGATAAGTCTGTGACCAACATCTGAGATAACCCTGCCACTCACCCCTGACCCAACCATATCATGACCGCCTTAATAAACTCTGTCTTTCCTACTACACCAGATCCCATTAAAAATACGGGATTTAGTTTTTTTTTTAAGATTTAACTATAGAAAAATATCAATTTAGTTCACGAATTTCACTTTTAAAGATTAGAGAATTTTAGCTTTCTGAAACAATGACCATTTTAACTCCCTTCACCTGAATCACTCAAAGCTATGAATCATTAGAGAGGATGAATACAACGATACCAGCAGCAGCAGATAAAGAACCAAAATACAATAAATCTAACGTTTATATACTTCCTTACCCCCTACATATAAACCCACTACCATCTCCACCCACTTCCTACATAACCTCTCTGAAATCAATGGTTTATTTTCATATCCTCGTCATTGCTGGTTGCCAAGGAAAGGCCACAGAAAGTATTAACCTTATATGACTTAAAGACGCCTTAACTCTCACTCATTTACTACAATAAGTTAAACATTACTGAGACTACATCTTATGACACCTGGAAATTATTAACTCAGGACAATAACCTAACGTAGTATTGGTCTAGATCAAGGTTATGTTTCCTTAACTCAAAGTGATATTGTTTTGTTTTTTTAATTCAAGGTTATGTATTTGTGAGAATCATGGGGATATATTTGTTTATTGAGTCCAGGTTGAGTTAATATTTTGCTCGAGGTAGGATTACAAGGTAAATATTATTACTTGGCCGAGGAAATCTAACGTGGTTCATTATACACTGTACGATTAATGGATGTATTTCCCAGCACACACACACACACTCAGTTCTCTAGGAAGCTTTTGATAAATTCGTGATATAAATGATAAGAAATTGGTATTTAAATGAAATTATATAAACTATTGAGATATTTTAAAGTATGAGCCCCAAAAATACTAGTTAGATAATATTTGTTGACGTAATGATAACAGGTGTGGTTTGTGTGATCATGGGAGTAGGTGTTGATTGGTTGTGTGATCATGGGAGTAGGTGTTGATTGGTTGTGTGATCATGGGAGTAGGTGTTGATTGGTGGTGTGATCATGGGAGTAGGTGTTGATTGGTTGTGTGATCATGGGAGTAGGTGTTGATTGGTTGTGTGATCATGGGAGTAGGTGTTGATTGGTTGTGTGATCTTGGGAGTAGGTGTTGATTGGTTGTGTGATCAGTGTGTTGATTGGTTGTGTGATCATGGGAGTAGGTGTTGATTGGTTGTGTGATCATGGGAGTAGGTGTTGATCATGGGAGTAGGTGTTGAGTGTGATCATGGGAGATTGGTTGTGTGATCATGGGAGTAGGTGTTGATTGGTTGTGTGATCATGTGTGATCAGTAGGTGTTGATTGGTGGTGTGATCAGGTGTTGATTGGTTGTGTGATCATGGGAGTAGGTGTTGATTGGTTGTGTGATCATGGGAGTAGGTGTTGATTGGTTGTGTGATCATGGGAGTAGGTTTTGATTGGTTGTGTGATCTTGGGAGTAGGTGTTGATTGGTTGTGTGATCATGGGAGTAGGTGTTGATTGGTTGTGTGATCATGGGAGTAGGTGTTGATTGGTTGTGTGATCATGGGAGTAGGTGTTGATTGGTAGTGTGATCTTCAACTCCTCATCTTCCTCTTTACCCTCTCCTCTCCCTTATCCCTTCTACTTTTCCCCCTTTTTCCTTTTACTACTACTACTACTTTTCCCCCATTTCCTCCTATTTCTCCTCCCCCCACCTCCTCTCCCCCATTCCTCCTCCCCCCACCTCCTCTTCCCCATTCCTCCTCTCCCCCATTCCTCCTCTTCCTTATCCTCCCTTTTCTCAACCACCTCTCCTCCCCTCCTCCTTGGCTCAGCACCACTAGGCAAAGTTTGAGGAATAGAGTAATGTGTTGACCTGGGTTCTTGTTTACTTCACCAAGATCGACGTATTAGAGACAGACATGGATGCAGTACGTACAATTACACTTGATATTGATACATTAGACAAACTTGTGGTATGTAATGGATTGTATGAGGGAGATTAATTGGTGCAGATGGATTGTAGTAATTAAAAGTGCATCTAAAATCACGGTAATTAAGGGTGATTGACACGAGTTGGTCATTGTCTTAAGGTTTAAATGATGCTGGTGATTGTTGGTTAGATGCTCCAAGCCAATCACTCTGAAGTTTGAGAAGTTGTGTATTTTTTGCAGTTATGACTTGGTGAAAGGTGCTTGATAACTCTGGCAATTTACTCGCCCAAAACATAAAACAAGCGAGAAAAACATGTTTATATCATCTCTAAACTCTTGATGACCAGTGCTTGAAGGCAGGAGAGAAAATAACTAAACATTGGGCCAGGGGTTCGGCACCAGGAAAGCAGATTGGCACTTAGAATACATTGTGCGGCTTCTTGTAGTCACACGCCCGAGACGACGAATGTTTGTGTCACTTATACTCTTCATCACTAGCCTGGGTGTTCCAAGTTGTGTCTAGAGGAATATTTGACCGATTATTCATCAGAAACTTATACTCGTAAAACTGTTTGTACTTTGCCGCCAAAAACAACATAATGTATATATGACGTCAGCTGGATGCTAGTGGGTGTATTTTGTGAGCGGGTCACCGGCATGAAGAGGAACACAACATAAACAAGATGACTTAGACCAGTTGGTGTTCAGGTGTTGCAACATAACGTGGCTGGATGATTCATTAGTGTGGTACGAACTCTGATACTGTGGGAATTGTAAGAAACATTTGTGTGTTCAGGTGGCTGCGTGGTCTGCCAGCCCCAAGTTAACTTGGCCCCCGTGCATAGTACAGGAACCCTCGTGTGTAATCCTTGGCTGAGGCGCGGAATTCCAAATCCAGCGAGAGATTCATCTACAGTACGGTATTGTAAAATTATCCTCAAAGTTCATATTGAAGATGGACGATGTAGATTGTCCATAAAGTGTGTCCAGCGCCAAGTGGTAGTTCAAACACACCGTGTTGTTGGTCAGCATGGTGGACACAATTAACCTGAGGATCGAGTTCCAAATCTATTTCTGCGTGGCTGTGGAGGGCATCCTGGCGCTGTGTTGTGGGCGGCGGCCGTGCTGGTGCTGGTGTCGACTGGTCACAGTCCCGTGCTGCCTCGCTCCCGGAGCCTCGCGCTGCTCTGCTCAGAGGGTACCTCTAGTCCTAGTGCCGTAACACCATACTTATGTGACAAGTCGTCATATTTTCTCTAATTTATTTGTGATACGGACAGTGTCTCAGCCTGATATTGCCTGATAATATATTGACCGTGAAGTGATGGAGTGGTGAGGAATGAGAACATGAGTTTAGAATAAATATGACCTGTTCTCATTATTGTGTCTCTCTTCAGATATACAGGTGACAGACCATCATCAGACAATAAAGCGTTGCATGGAAGGCAGCAGAAGTAACTCTCGTGTACTTATGTACCGATGTAGATCAAAGCTGTGCGAATATTCATCGTGTACGGATCTGAAATTCCACACAAGCACACGTTTGTCACAACCGAGTGTACCAGTGATAGTGTGAGCAGCGTGGAGGATCACTGCTAGCGTGTACAGTAAGGGTCACGCCGGAGAGAGAGAGAGAGAGAGAGCGAGCTTGGGGATCCGCGAACACAGGAACTTGTAGCCACTCAGCCAGCCAGTGAGACAGGTGACGTAAAGAATTCTCTCACACAGTCAACACGTGTCCATAGTAATGACCATCAGAGTTAAACCAGACCATCTCTTCCCTAAGCACTTCTCTAATATACAAATTATTTACTCGTGTCAGTTTCAGTGTCTTAAACTCTGCCAGGTGGTTTCTGATATTCAACAAGAAATTTGTTCACATGTCACACCTAATTCTCAAGCACCATTTAATCCTCCACACGTATGTTTGTTTTTCTTCGGGTTTAATAAATGTGAGACAACTGTGGCGAGTTTAGCAGATAATACATTATTATATAGACTGTTTATGTTGTGATATTGTTGCCTTCCAGTGATCTTCTCTCCCTGGGGGTGAGTCAGGCTTAGATGTAGGCACTGACCAAGTAGAGATGTAACCTGGCAACGTAGGGGCAGATAAAATCGCCTAGAGCAGGGGTTTTCAACCAGGGGGGAATTTCCCCCCTCAGGTTTTCAGGGGGGAGAGAGATGTAACCTGGCCAAGTAGAGAGATGTAACCTGGCCATTAGAGAGATGTAATGGCCACGTAGATTGGCCACTGTAACCTGTGTAGAGAGATGTAACCTGGTTGAGAACCACTGGCCTAAAGAGAGGGACACACACACACACACACACACACTAAGATGGAGACATTCGAGACAAGTAGAAGTAAACGGTCATACACACGAGGGAAAAAGTGACTGGCAAACTGACTGTCTAGAGAAAAGGAAATAAGGCTGATCAAGTATACCCGAGTTAGACTGTCTGATAAAGAGGTAGTAGACTGACATACTAAAGTAGACGGTAAAAGCAGGCTGTTCAACATGTAGGAGAAAGACTGACTCGGGTAGAGGAAAGTAGACTGGAGAGAGAGAGAGAGAGAGAGAGAGAGAGAGAGAGAGAGAGAGAGAGAGAGAGAGCACATTAAAGAAAGTTAACTAATCAAACAGACTGACCAGGTAAATATATATATCTAGACTGAAACAGGTAGATAATTAGACTGATGGTGGATAGATTATTTAGACTGTGTTAGGTAAAGGAAGATAGGCTAGAAGAGAAGAAAACTATAGGTAAGGAGGATGAACTAGACAAAATAGGATGGATAAAGGATGGCAGTAGAAATAACAGGTACAGGTGATGTTAAATTAGCAGACGTCGATATTTAGGATGACATGAGGAGCTATAGGAATGTAAGGATGAACTAGACAAAGAAAATAGAGTAAAGGAGGATAGTAAAATGAACTCGAAGACAGATGATGATAAACGAGTGTAAGATGAAACACAAGACTAAGAAGAACTTAAGGAAACGGAATAAATTATGAAGATAAGATGAAATTAAGAGAATGTTAGTGAAGTATCAACAGGATGAACTAGGATTATAGAATTAACAGGATAAAAAAAATAGGATGAACTAAGATGAAGGGATGAAGCATGATGGTAGTTGGAACCGGATCAGCAGGATAGATTAGAATCGTAGGATGGAGGATGAGGATAACTCACACTGTACCAAAAATAGAATCGTAGGGTGGAGGATAGAGCTAGCACACATCCTGTCATAGAAGGATACCAGATAGGCAGATTATTTCCCACTCAACAGATGAGTGTTTGTACTCAGATGGTACTGTACAGGAGGTGAGGGGGGTGTGAGTGCCCCAGCTGGCAGATGGCTCGTGGCACCTCAAGGAAGTCATTAAGGGTGCCAACTGTCTGTCTGCCAATTTGTGAGAAAATATGGCACAAGGCAGCACACACACACACACACACACACACACACACACACCCCTCTGTACTACTACCACTTACCACAACACTGCCAATAACAACAATCTTCCATTCTGCTTTATGAGATGCCAGGAGTCTTAAGTCCGAGATACAAGACATTACGAACACTCAGCCACACTCGGCAGAAGACATACGCCTCTATCTCTACAATGATGTTATAAAACTGACATTCATTTGTTTTTGTCTTTTTTTTTCGGCCTTAAATTGATTGTTATACTTCACACTGATGATAGACTGTTGAGTAAGACGCAGTAATTACAGCCTTTAGTACATAGTATATAAGGTTGCTTAGGAGTGAAAGGTCCCTCTGATTTTTACGATATAATCTCGGCTTTGATGACCACTGGAAAGAAAACGTTCGTGTCTATTGCCGGTTTGCACTTCATTATTCTTTACATAAGTCCCTTACAGTTTTAGCAAATGACTTGGATGTTTGTTTAGATTTAACGATGTGGTTGTGTGGGCTGGTATTAGAATATAGTGTTGCTACTTGTTGTAAATCGTCCATATTATAAACAAAAGCATTTTTCTGTATACAACGAGCATATCTTCTCTATACACGGCAGTTGACTCTTATGATAAGTAAAGATGGCAACAACTTAATATTTTCTGACTCAAGTAATAAAAGTGACAAAGAATTATTTACTGAATATTTATGGAGACAATGAACTCGTCCATTATAGGAGTACATGACACACACACACACACACACACACACACACAGTACAACCATCGGCTGCTTACTTCTTGTTTACTGAATGAGAGCATATGGGGCTACACACTACTCCCGCCCCTCCCTCCTTCTCCCCCCCCCCAGCTCAACACCACGGCATACCTCGACCTTCACATGTTGTTTGGTGTTACTATCAGGTCAGGTCCTCACCATACTACCAATATTGCCAGTATAGTGTTGTTACAGTGAGGTGTGTTGTTACAGTGAGATAGGGCCGTGTTGTTCTCCTTCCCCCGCCGTCTCCATCAGCTGTTTCGTGTGGCCCTCTGCCCTACTTACCTCACCACCACACTGTCGGGGTTCTGAATGTGTTAGTGTTGGTTCTTTATAGACGTCGCCCCATATTTCAATCATACACCGTCACCACAGTCACTCACCATCACCGTTACCATAATCAGTCACCATTTTCACACACCACCGCGACTAAAATCTGTTAATAGAGCCTCATAACCTGACAGGTCTCCCCTCTACTACTGGTTGACTGTCTCGTCCTCAGCACATAGTCCCAGACGAACTAAACATCAAAACAAAAGATGTGTTCCTCCCACACTTTTTCCCTCATCGCTCTTTAACGTGGCCGTATGTATCAAAATCGTCATCATTCATTATTATGGTTTATTGGTAGAAGATGGAGAATTCTTTTTAAATATTATATACACAGATTCGAACATAAGACTGCCAGTATATTATGCCAACAATATCAACAGGAATCACGTGTGTCGTTGCCGTCATTGGGTGTCTTGGTCCAGCTCGGTGACCATACTCCCCAACTCATCCAGGAAGTGTCACTAGTACGGGGAGCTCTGTATACCCTCACAACCACACCAGCGCTCTGGCAGAACTGGACCACAAAAGAAAAGGGAAACGTCTCCGGGGAAAATATAAACTCGTAAAACCTAAAGAGTCGTAACTCGTCAGGTAATGATATGGGCCAGCAGGTAGTGAAGGAGGAGAGGCGAGGCGTGCCAGGTAAGCCCGCAGACATCTGGCACTTGTAACCTCTACGTTAGTAGGTCATTTATCCTTCCCGGACGGTGCCAGTCCACGCTTTCCTCTGGGAGAGGATGGTCAGGCAGAGTAAATAGTGACGCTCAGGACTTAGAGTGGTGATTTGATTATCGACACACAACTCTTAAAAAGCTTTTACTGTATATTAAAGTAGAACTTGAATGCGGTATGAAAGCAAAGAGTGAAAACAGAACAATGAGTAAATGCGAACAGTGAAATACATTGAATATTAGTCTGACAATACATCTGTGAACTTAAAATAGTGACTGAACTAACACGAGTAGAGCTTGGCACTTCCTGAGTGAGGATCGTGAGAACAAGAATTTCCTTGAAGGTAAGCTGTCATAAACCTCTCGTGCTGAAATAAACCTTGTAAGTAAGATAACTAAATACTTAAACACATTTTTTAATGTTAAGGCGTAAACACGGTGGAGTTAGTCTGGTATTAGTGGGGAATCCCTTCGTGAAGATAAAAGACCGTGGTGTGTCTGGTCAATGGTGTCTCAAGAGGAAGTCGAACCTAAGATTACCCAGACTGGCAGAGTCACGACACTTGAGAGCCTTTGTGATAACTGTTGCAGGACGCCAGACAAGCCACTATGACGGTGGAAACTGTGTTCATCCCAGATCGTTTTGCCTATTATGTTCAATATAGTTTCTTTTTTCCGTGATTCATGTCAGATGCGCTACTCGTGTGGAACTTTACGCGGCGTCTCTTAAAGGATGGTTTTACACATTCATGCCGTTTTACTTTGAGATAAACACGAAAAAAAAAACCTATCATCTGGTGTAGCCTCACAATGAGTCTTTTATATTATTTTACCTAACAACTTTAGTGTTCGTCCATGGTTACAACACACACCACTAGTACAAGTAACAAATGCTTATCCCAGGTGAACGTGTTGACCAAGTAGTGCAGAACGAGAACACCCACCGATACATTTAACAAACCTAACCTAACCTAACCCCCTCTTCTCATTTCCTCTTCTCTCTTCTACCTCCTCCCCTCTCTTCTTCTCCCCTCGCTGTGTGTGTGTCTTCCCCCCACTCTTCCCCTCTCCCCACTTCCTCTCTCCTCCATTCCCTCCCTTTCACCTCCCTTCCCTTTCTCTCTCCTTCCCCCATCCTCTCTTCTTCCCTCCCACCCTCTATCCTATCTTCCTTTCCTTTCTCTTCCACCTTGGGATTTACATAGAGGAAATATAACTTTATTCCTCGCTTTAAAATCACAGAATAAAATTTTCCAAGCAAAACACTCCTTAAAATAATTGTATTCTCAAGCTGATTCACAGTTAAGCATCTCGGAATAGTTCCTCTCACGTTGGGACGAATATTATAGAGGAATCGAGAAGGTGTGTGGGCGTGGTGGTATTGGTCCCGTTCCACCAGCCAAGTTTGTTTGTCTTGTCAGGAGTCACATCTGTTTGGTATCAAGATCATAAGATACAGTACTGTACTTGTTGTAGGAAAGGAAAGTATTTGTTATTCTCGTTTTTGTGTGATTGGTTATTATTATAATAGATGTAAAAATATCAGATAGATTAAGTCATTTCATATAATAATCCGAAAATAAAATCACCACATTTTATTAAGTTCCCCTTGATGAGTCACATCCGTTCTCTGTGAACTGTGGCCCACTGGTGTTTTGATTTTCTTTTCTAAATATAAGTAAAGAGAACCCCAGTGGCTTTCCTCACCTCAGGTATATTAAAAAGAGAGAGCTTTCTTACTCTGGTGATAATCATTCTTACGGCGAAGCGAAGAATTATTTATGTGGAGAGCGAACGTTCACTCTTATTCCTAGTCCAATGTTTATGGCTAATGGCAAGACTATCTTCGTTTTAGGAAGAGTAATGGAAGAGGGTAATCAATGTTTCCTTCTGACTAATACTTATATTGTCATGTAAGTCATCTATCGTGTAAGAATCATGAGGACGTACACGAGATGTTATACACTCTACAGTCATCAATACCATGACGTTATATATGTATACATCATTGTTCGTCGCTGTAAACACCACAACGACTCTAGTTACAGCAGAATCACAAATACGTTCTTATCCTTGAGCTGGTGACATAACTGGTAAAGATACGAGAAACTAACAGCCGGCCTCTTACATACACATGACCTTACCTTCCTAGATACTGGCAGCTACCCATATAAACAGAACAAGAATTACCTTGAGCATAGTGTATCACTTTCTCAATTTAGTCCAATATTCTGACCATGGCGCTGGCTCTAACTAATGTATCAGATAATTATGTTAGAGAATTTTCCTGTTTTTCTTTATTACATTGACATTGATTTCAACACCGTGGTTTAGGCTTTGTGAGTTTATTTTTTGTAAACACACGGCTGTCTAATGAATAAGTCTCTGGTGTAATAACCCGCCGAGTAATGTTGAGAAAGTCTACGGGAAACACTCGCCGCGTTTTACTTACTAATTGTTCTGGTGTTTTGTTGTTGTTTTTTCTTTTACATTTAATTGTTGGTAAAATGTCTTAAATTTGTTCGAGAATGACTCACAAATATAATATGGTAGCAGAAGGTGTTGTTCTTTATTACTAGGATATAAACTAAATCTTTTCCTCTTTCGCCTTTCTAGTGTTAAGGAACATCACTTGTTAACAAAACACCTCAGGTACATGAGAGTTTCTTAAGTAAAAACATTACAATAACAACAAATACTAAATATAAAACAATAATGACATTGAATTCTTTCCTAAAACACCATCGCATTTTCTTACTCTACAACGATCAACGTGTCCGCCGTACAAGTAACTTTACATTGGACTTGACTCTCGCGTGGGCCACCAAACTGCCAGGAGCGTGGCAAGAGTCGCAGCCAAAAATCTCAGCATCTTAAAATGGTCTTTGGAGTCCCTTCCCCGAGCTGTGATCACCGCCACTGTTTACATGCTTGGCTCCCACAGTACTGAAGATCTCGGCCCCGTCCGTGAGAGACGTGCCGGAGCGCTATCATGTTTTGGCCGTTCTTGATCTTAGAGGAGGCGATGAACCTTACTTACTATCACGTACTTTCCTCATCACCGCATAAATGTTATCTTATAGCTACAATCACATATACGAGGGGACAAGAGTTCCACATTCAGCTGTATCATGTTGGTTAAAATATTAGGCGGCAAGACTAAACTGGTGGCAATTTTCCCTCGTCCTTGTAGAACTATGGTGGGCGGGACACATCTTCTGGGCAGTGTGTGTGGTGGGCGTTGCGTCAGGAGTTATATTCTACCCTTGGTTTAATGACACGTTCCATGAGGCAGGTGGTGTCGTGGGGCCCTCCCAGCCTTGGTAGTCGTCCAATACGCTGCACTGTTCCCTCCCTCCCTCTCTCTCTTCACTCCCAATTAGCAGCCCTTTGGCCCGCCTAGACCGTGTTGTGATTCATTCCCGGGTAATCAATTGTTCTTTTTTGCTACCTTAGTGTTTTTATTCAATTAAAGCTGGTGGTCAACAGAAGTGTGTAGCCTAAATGGTCGAGTTCTGGAATTGTTGAAGTCGACGTCCCATTGCTTTAACTTATATTTCATTAGAGTTTTCAGCCATACAGTAGACACTCGTACTTAATACATATTCACACACATGTCCTGTTACCCTACACACAGTTACAAGTATCACAGCAGTTATCAACGCGCTGGAGTGAGGCTGCCTGTAGAGGGTGACAAATCTCAAACTGTAGAATACTGTACTAAGTTATTATGGTTGGCGTCAGGGGTGGTGTTAATGGGAATGGCACCCGGCCATGTGGTGGCACTTGTGACATCGTAGATTATCGTCACCTCACACCCACATAGGTCAGGTGTGTTTACTCGAGTTGTGTTTGACTATAAACCACTCCATGTTTGATCCAGCAAGCGATTCCCAGCTCATATATGTTGTACAAATTAACGTTAGTCATATACCCATAACTTAGACGTGTGTGTTGTTGTGTTAGCGGCCAGACACACACTGTAACACACAAAGTCATCTCAAGGCTTTCCATCCGAAAAAAGTTAACTCAAATCATTTCCTCGATAGAGAAATTAAATCGTATTTGAAAAAAAAAATATATCAAAATCGTTCTATTTCGATATGTTAAGCCAATGATTTTGTCCCCTATTACATCCTAGCATAGAACATAAATTTAATATAGTTAAGAGGAAGTATGGCCATAAAAAAAACTAGACTGACAAATTAAATGAAATGGGCTGACAGTGAGGCGACAAGTACTGGAGATGTTATAAAATCTGCTGACGACGGTGTAGGGGGGACCAGCGTGTGTACCATGTTTACGATAACAGCTGACAATGGAGGACAGTGTTCATGGCCACTGGTTCCTTTACTGTGTGTGTGTGCGTGTGTGTGTGTGTCAGTCAACAACACTCAAGACTCTCGCTCCACCCACACACACGCCCCCTGTACACACAAGACTCACCTTAACCAACTCTCGTGTTTTCAGGGAGAAACAATGCCGTCGAAAAAGAAGCTGAAGTCCTATTTAAAGAAACTGAAAATGTAAATATGAAAGTGTTAATCTCTTGCATGGGTCCCCAGCCTGAGTCACCCCAGCTCGTTGTTGGACTCGCCAGTCTACTCCTTGATGTCTCTGTTTCTTAAAATCCAGTTTGATACATATATTGCATCCTCTTGTACACACCCAGACCAGAGTAGCCAAGACCCCCGTACGCTATATTTCCCTTCCTTAACTAGAGATATGAGAACGTACCCAACTGTCTTACTTAATCTAAAACATAAACTTAATGACCTCAACTACTCTGTGACTGTACTGTAATTATATCCGTTCTCTTATCCCAAGTTTAGGAAATTTACTTCTATTAGGTTTATTATGTTAAGCCAATATATTTTGTCTCCCTCACAGTGTTATGGTTCGTGTACACCTGTTAGTGTTGTGTTGCTGGCTGTTTATACCCATAATTTGCGTTTCTTGATACACTATTGCCAACACTAGTTTGCCACATACACTATTGCCAACACTAGTTTGCCACATACACTATTGCCAACACTAGTTTGCCACATACACTATTGCCAATGCTAAGTTTGCCACATACACTATTGCCAATGTCAGTTTACCATACATACGACTGACACCACTAGTTTATCACACACACACACACACACACTATTGCCATTACTAGTTTACCACATGAATTGTGTGCCAACATCAGTGTGCCACATACATACAATAATCACTGCCTCGGGAACATATTGTAGACAGAAACTGATCCTCTCGTTCTGTTGAGTCTTGACATGAATGTTCGGTGACGGTGTATTGTCCCCTGTGATGTGTCCAGTACAGTATATGCCATGCCCAGTGTGTCACATCCGTACGTTACGCCAGTACTGTGTGTCATGACCTGTTTGTTGAGATGAGTTGCGTCAGGTGTGCTGCACGGCGTGTCACCCACGTGCCCTGTGAGGCAGGTGCAGCTCACCATCATCGTGACTTGTGTGGTTTATTGTTCCTCAGTAAAGTTTTGTTATCAGGTCGCGGACATGTCGGTCAGGCCCTTCCAGGCAGCCCAGCCCTTAAGGTAATATACATGGATCATAATATACACTTCACGTATATGCTATGTATATATACTTATCCGAAGTAACTAATCCAAATGGTCTAATCCCGTGTAACCCACGACTGTGCATGATGTGTATAATTGTGTCGACTGTTGAGCATTGCAGATAACAATGTGATTTCTTTCCTTTGTTTGTTTACCGCCATGTTGATGACGTCATCTGCAGGTAGTTCACAGGTTTAGTGGCTCAATCCATCCCCTCACTGATTGGCTTTCACAATAAGCAACAACTGCCAGTCAGAGGTTTCACTGGTCTCCTTAGTTTTGTCACACTGTTGCGTCTCTCCCTGAGCGTTTACCCAGTACCCACCTTTGATTTAACTTGCAACTATGCAATTAAATTTTATGCTAAAAATGATCATTAAAATATAAACATAGATGCTACTTGTTATTCTCCATTCATAGCGACCAGCCTTCAGCTTAACACAATACACAGATCTGAGACAACAATGTTCTCATAAATTAGCTCTCTCTCAGTTTATCATTCATAGAAAACGGACGAAAACAAAGCACAATTAATGTAGAAATAAGTTAAGTTGTCACCCTAGGTCAACCAGTTCAGAAGTTGCAGGTTTTGTCCTATTTCCTTTTATGCCTTTCATTTATTTATTTTTTCTTCTTCTTGCAGGAGTTTACGTCCAGTATTCACCTTATAAAATTACCCAACAGCGTTGAATCCAAAACCTCTTAAGTACTCTGTCATTGTATTCCAAGGTTAAGCCAGTTTACCTATGGATTACCGACATCATATAAAAACGTTTAAGATATCTTGCTGTGTTAATTTGTAGTTCTCAAGGGGTTAAGATATCTTCCTCTATAGATTAAGTCATTGTACTCAAGGGGTTAAGTCATTGTACTCAAGGGGTTAAGTCATTGTGCTCAAGGGGTTAATACTGACCTCTAATAACTTGTTAACTGAATTGCATTTGCAGTGTGAAGAAATTTATTTTGTTTTCGTTGGTTTCTTTGGAGTGTCGTGACTTTCTCCCTTAGTTTATAACTATGAATTTACTGTTCTTTATTCACCATGTAATTAAAGGAGGCAGTGAGTGAGTGAGTGAGATGGCTGCTGGCCGTGGGAGTGTGGAAGAGGGTGTATCGAAGTTGAGTATACAGTATACAGTTAGTATGAAAGCTGTAGAGTTGGTTATTTCTCATGGTGTATTGTACACTACTTTAATACTGTGTCAGTTTTCTTGTATGATTGTGTGTATTTGACAGTAATGGGGGTGTTTTGTGTGTGTAACCAGTAGACACTCACCAGTAGGAGCAGGACGCCCTAGTGACCCAGATCTCTCCCTCAGGCCGCCTAAGGGCCAGGCGCGGCGGGAGTCAACAGGCTCAGGGTCAGCCAGCCCAGGGACGATGGCTGCTGACTGCGAGTGGCAGGGGGATGCTTGGAGGCGCCCTAGCCGGTGGTCGGGGCAGTGGGACCAAGGCACACTCTCCACGCCCACCACGCCTCAGTCTGTGCCGTCCACGCCTCCACCTATGCCTGCACCTCCACCGGAGCCACAGACCAACCTCATCAAGGTAAGACAGCAGTGAGCAGTTTAAGGTTGTAGTGATGCATTAGGTTATTGAACGCACGGTGTTAAGGGATGACCCAACACTGTTTATGGATGATAAATGTTTAAGTTTGCTAAAAGAATTGTGTGTACACGTATTTTCCATATTATTGTCGACTTATTGTATGTATACTGGAGTGTGTAGGTGTTTCCCGCATGGTTTGTAAGCTATGTGGTGGGCAGGTGTCTCAGAAGTACCTAAGTATAACTGTTGTGCTGCTAGTATGAGGTCACAGTATAGTGTCATGCATGTAATACGGTTATTTTGTGGAACTGGATGGAGTTAAACAACTGTGACCAAATAAATCAGTTTCATCCTAAGAATGTGATGAATGTGATTCAGGAGTTAAGTGTATACACAGAAACATTATTGTGTTGCATGGTTGTTGTTGATGTTATGTTTAAAGACGTGTTCTCATGGACCCAAGTGTCTGTGAGTGTCTTGCTTGAGTGTGCTGCAGCCGCCACCTGTTGTGGTGCGGCACAGAACAACTCTCATAGATTTGTTGTTTATCTGTTCTGTCACTGTGGGACATGATCCTCCCTTTCTCAGCACCTATCCCTCTCCTGTTCCAGAATCCTTCGGATATAATCAAGAAGGATGGCCCCAAGGTAAGAGAATGACACCCTCCTACATCACTGATCGAGAATAACTTACCGAGTATTTAAAGTTAACTCACGGATGATAGATTTTGTTTGTCCGCCACGTGCTGATGCTTATTTACACGTCGAGAGACTCTTGATGACAGCTTGCGTGGTGCTCCAGGATGGAGTCAACTAACACATGTAAAAACACATGCCTCAGCTAAATGATTTGCTGTGTTTTAATAACGTTAACTCTTACACACCCCAGCTGACACCTTTACCTTCTGAGGTTGGGCGAATATATCCAGACAAAGGCAATTAACACACAGTGCAAGCTGATGTGGCGTGGAGGGAGAATGCACCTCCCTATTGAGACGTCAGAGCTACACACACACACACACACACACATACATACATACATACACACACACACGGTGACTGACAATCAGGATGGGAGAAGAGTGTACGAGTGGAGGGTGACAGCGATACACACAGTCGTCACTACCACTGTCACGTGCTCGTCGCCTCTGTCATGTGCTGCTCTGGGCCACGACAAGTACCGCACACTGTTGTCTTGTCTGGAGGATAACAGTCTAACACAGTTGACATTTTGCAGTTGTTGTTAAATTTTGGGCTTATAACAGGATTTAAGTTGTTGCATTTAATTATTATTTAAAGGTAGAAGTTTATTTGTTGTCATTATGATTCTGCTTTTTATTGCCTTTTTACTCTGTTTATGTAAAGAGAACATCCAGCCAATTATAAATGTAGAGAAACGTTATTTCCAGCAATCATAACTGGTTCCACATTGTTTGCAAGAATTGTAATTGGCTTATGTTCTAAGTATATCATTTCCAGCGCTGACTCGCAGCTAACACCATTGTCAAGGTCTGAATTCTCATAGATTCATAAGTTAAGGTTCTTCTCTTGCCTGGGCCCAAGTAAACAACATCTTGTTTATGCTGTAACATAATAAGATATGCTGTCAAGTCTCCGCCAGGAAGGAAATTTTAACATATGAACCTTTCCGAATTCGAGCTAATCCTATGATTTGACCTTGACCTGCTTCAGCTTAACCTCGCTTGACCTTTTCCCAGGACACATCCAGCCCAGAGCCCTGGTGGGCCGCCGAGCAGCAAGACGGGGAGGAGCCTGCCGGGGTGAGTGACGTCACTGGCATAACATTAACACAACACGAAAGAGAAGCATCACTGTGACACTTTATGAGACTGAGACAGAAATATTGGTCTATAACAGCCAGGAAACACTGACAGTATAGGAGGGTGAGGGAATTCAGTTGTCACGCGAAGAAGTACTGTACTGACATACTGGGGGGCGGAATGAGTGTTAACCAACTGAACTCCACACATTGAACTTTAGAATTGCTAGAATTTTGACCTTTTATATATTACTGACAGTTTTAGGTAGGTAGTGAGACGTGTGTGATTTACTGAGGTACCTGTGTTATGCTAAGAGACAGTCCTCAAGCTGATGACCATAAGATTCAGGACTCATCTGTGTGTACGTCATTGGGCAGAGACGCTTACGTTTGTGTCTCTCATTGTATCTGTTTTGTGTGATAGTGGAAGGCGTTTCATAAGGTGTGTCAGCAGCATATACAACGTGAGGAACTGACATGAGAACCCGTGAGGAACCAGGAAGTAACAGTGGTGAGGGTAGGAGAGTTAACTGGCATCTTAGAATCTTCCATGACTAAGTTCAGTCTTCAAAACGTAACAGTAAGTCTATTATTTAACCTTATTTTTGTGTCTTTCAACTTTGCATATTTTTGGGGGTATGATTTTCCTTCTTTCTCTGCCTTTTTTTTCTTAGGATATATTTATATTTTTTATAATGTTCTTCAGCTCTCATTTATAAAATTCCGATAAGATTCGTTTCATGTTTTAGACTTTCTTCACTTGTTCCGTTATTAAGTGAACAGTACTACCAACGTCTTCCTGGAATTTGTCGTTTTAGTTAATATTTTCTTCGACGATAGTGCTTCTTACACACACACACACACACACACACCAGCGCTGGCTAACTAGCATGCCCTGAGTGGAAGGTCTCTGGTGGGGCCAACTAACACCCTGCAGAACGCTGCAGCCAGCACCCGAGCCCGTGAATGGAGGTGCAAGAGAAGTCACACCAGGAGAAGATGGAGGAGGATAAGAAGGAGAATAAGAAATAGAAAGATGAATAAAAAAAATTCTAAAAAATAAATTAAGATTAAGTGATAACGTATAAAGTGGGTGACTTCATTCTAGTTTTTGCATTACTCTCTCAGACACGTGTTAGTCCCATCCACAACGGTGTTTCAGGTGGTAATCTGAAGCTTAGACACCAATGTGAAAGATCCCATAAAGTGGAACACATTGTCATAGGTCAAGAAAGATCATTCAGAGTTGATTCTTGGTTACCCATACAAGGAAACACATATTTCAACATTATTCAGTAGTTACATCTATTAGTTGACAAAGGGGAATTCAAAACTGTCCACAAATAAATTAACATTGGAACAACAGTAACAGCCGTATTTGTGATGGAATGAGGCAGTTCACAGGTGTATTAGATTTAGCTGTAGCCATAATATAGTGGTTTTAAAGTGTCCAGTTGGAAGACCACACTGTAGAGCATGTGTTTACCTGTTCTTGCTGAGGAGTTAGTCATTGGTGTTAGTTTAGAGTCTACAGTCTCTACACTTACCAGCTTTTCTGATGTTTTGTAGTAATATATTGATTTGGTGAGGTCAGAGGAGCTCCTGAGGTTACTGATGCTGCTTTACAGTTAACAGTTATCAACAGAAAGTGGAAAAGAGGATAGAATATTTTTTAGCAAACACACACACACACACACACACACACACACACACACACACACACACACACACACCACTACAGTACTGCGGTAGATCAGGTGATAATGTATTATGTATACATATATATTTTTAAGAATGGTTTTAATTGATTGACAGTAATGTGTTAATTTTTTTTGGCAGTCAAATATCACGCTGATGATGAACCACAATAGAAACTCCAAAACATGCGTCATTATGTACAGTCTCCTTCACTAGTGCGTTTACAGGGGTTCCCCAAATCATTATCTTTGAGATATTTGTTTTAATTTTATTCCATAGTATGTTTAATAATGCGAGTTTCCTTCTGTCGAATGTAAACAAACACAGTGCTGCCACATTACACAGAACCTGATGAGTCCCTGTAAATGCACTAGTGAAGGAGACTGTTCCCTCCCCGTGGTGAAACTGAGTCAAGGAATGAGTCTCCGAACTGACTTACCCTGACTGTTTCATTTCATTTGGGTTCGATGCTGCTTCATTTGGGGCAGAAGCGAACTCTTAACCCCGGCTGCACATGTAAGACAAGTGGAGTGTGCTAAGTCATCCTAGGATTAATTTTTCTCAATGTAGAATTCTTTTATGATGGTATTGTATCAGCTGCACAGTCCAGGTGTCAATAAACCTCGAGTGAACTCCAAGATCTGACTTTATGATCGGTAAACAAGACCGTTGACAAATCTCACCTCAGTAGTCTTTAAAACTCCAACAAAGTTTATAATCTTAGGTTTATTTATGAACATCAGAAAAGCAACTTCCAACCTGAAATAAAATAATGTATCTTCAGGTTTATGTGTTACATAGCCACATAAGTTACAGACAACCACCTCACATCACTGACCTTAATATTCTTGCTGCACAACCTGGCAAATGTTGTCCCAGAAAACTTAGAGATTAGAACAAATCCAAATTAACATCTCCAGGTCCACGGGGGTGTTTAACAGTACAAAACTGTATTACTGGACAATCATCCAGTAATACAGATTTGTACTGTGTTACACTAATCTTCTCTTGCTGGTACAGTATATCCATCACCAGAGCCTTATCCCTCTAAAAATTTATATCATCATTTGTTTTTAGCGCATCGAATTAAAGCCACACACAAATGTCTGAAAAACACTGTTGTCTTTCAGAAAGAAAGTCCAACTCCGTGGCGGAAAGACGGTCAGTCTAGGGTAAGCACCCACCCCTCACCCTGACTGTTGTGTTGCTGTTACATTTCAGCCTCTCTGATGACTGCAGCCTCTTGTATACTCTCAACCATAGCTTGATCTGCCCTCTGTAACGTGACCAAGCCATGTATATTGGTCTGTCGCATGGTCTGTGGTCATCCTTGCCTTACTGGGTCAACCGCATGCATTTTTGGACAACTATTTCTCGCTTCATATTGATTGGATAACTAAATATTTTTCTATCTGTTTCTATTTTTATCTTGTCATGGTAAAGAATTTTGCATGACAAACACTTCCTTTACAGATCATAATGCCTCTCTCTACATACAGTACTCTTAGCTGATCCACTCGGACCTACCTTTTTCCAGGTTTTTCAATTTGCTCTTGAATGCTTGCGGCTTTCAGTATTATTCTATACATTCAACAAATGTCACTTTATCCTTGATGGACATTAATACACCTCTTGCCATTGTTTTGCAGACTGCTTTTTTTTCTTGTAAACGTCCGCCTCATCAATATATGACAGCTTGGCATGTTTTCCTCGACCCCTCCCCCCCTCCTTGAGAGACGACCAACAGCTGCTTTCACTGTGCACAGTGGTCCGCCACCTACATATCCACAGCTCTCAGGTGTTTCCAGACTAAACCATATTTTTTTTTATGACTTAGAGACTGATACGTAGCACATTGCAATTTTTATTATTATTGTTAGTTCAATGGAAGAGCAAAGCACAATTATTGGGTAATCCTTGCGTAGGAATATTCGATATTGACATCTGGCCTTCCCCTCCACAATAAGCATGCGTCGTGTTGTTACTGTCACTGGCTCATCTCTTTTCCTCAGTAGTCATATGTCTTGTACCCGTCGTTCTTAACCATGACAGGCAATGACAACCTCACGTCTCAACGCTTTGCATGTACTCCCTCATTCAAGTACCCTGTACTGGTCTTATCAAGCAAGTAAGTATCTCAAAACTTGATTATTTTTACAATAATATCTATAAATTAATGAACATGTATGCTAAATAACATATACTTTTCGTGTGGAATATTATAATTTTTTCCAAAATTATTTATCACTTCCGTTTTTCATGTTCCCTGTTATAACATCGTTATTACTAGATTCTGAGACAATCGGCTTCATCAGCCACAAAATTATAATCTGAACTAAAATTACTACAACTTTGTTCTCTCATGTGCCTCAGTATTAACCAGTTGTGTTATCTTTCCCATTTCTTATCATAACCTGTACGACGGCCTGTGATAACTGAGGTTGACAACTGATAATTCAAATTAACCTCACTTTACAGAATGAAAGTCCTGGTCCACCTCAACAACAACGTCACAGGTCAACACTTGTGAGTACCTGCCCTTGTTGTTCTTTAATGAGTATTTGTAGTCGTAGGTCATTACTGGCACTTGAAACATTGTAGAATATGACTTGGTAAGTTGATGAACTTACTGGTGATCAGCATCCTCAAGTAGTTAACAGGTAGAATAGCTGTTGTTACTGATATACAGTAGTAGTAGTGGATGTGCTGTAAAGGCTTGGTGTAGATGCTTCTAACTTATTTGTTATGCCTTTGTATTCTTAAGCTGCTACACTTACTGTAGGTTATGTATCTAAGCTACTGTGCCGAGTAGCAACCTTGTATATAAGCTACTGTGCCGAGTAGCATTTATATATGTAATTACGTGGCAACACTGCACGTGTTATGTGGCAACATTGCCTCGAGGCTGCCATATGGCAAGGCAGTCTCAGTCTGACTCTGTGGGCCGTGCATGGCACACGCTAGTCACCGCTTGTATTTCTCCTATCCGTTAATAAATGGACTTCAGTGTTACCCGGTGTTTCCCTACCCATTAATGCCTTCTTCAGGGAACACTTGAAACCTTCATGGCGCAGTGAGTAGGATCTGTGGACTTACAAGTGTGTGAACAATGGACAGTTAGCCGGCGATGTGCGACTGCCGGCGATGTGCGCGTCGACTCTTAGTGTGTTGTGTTGCGTTGTGTTTCGCCGCGACGTGCAGTGTTGCGCCGTCACAGTGCGTTTTAGTGATGGTGGCAGTTTTAGTGTCAGTGTATTCGTGTGTCTAGAGCTGAGAGTTGAGTATTGGCCTGTCTTTTGTGGTACCCACGGAGCACGCAGGCATACACCCTTCTCGTGTGACATCCGGGGAGACACTGACGTTCTTACCTCCGTGGCGGCCACCAGGATCTGCTCTCTGACACACACACACACTCACGGACAGAACAGTGGACTCTGTGTTATTTCTGCGCTGTTTATGTCATATATATGTGGTTAGAGCTGATGAGGCGCCACTTTATACACTAAACAGCGCAGTTCAAGCATACCAAGATGGACGGTAAGAAGGGACAATGTCAAGATAGGAGACACGACTCCCCACCACCTTCTCCTCTACCAGGCACAGATGGAGCTTCTGCGCCCACTGCCCCTCATCCTTCACCTACAGCGACGGACATTGCCACAATTCTGAGGTGGAGGGACGAGAGACGCAGAGAAATGGAACTTCAGAGGGAGGACATACGAAGAGAGGAGGAAAAGGCGCGCTTTGATGCAATATTGGCGACCCTGGCGCTAACCCACCCTCACTCACTTCGCCATGAAGGTTCCAAGTGTTCCCTGAAGAAGGCAGTGATGGGTAGGGAAACACCGGGTAACACTGAAGTCCATTTATTAACGGATAGGAGAAATACAAGTGGTGACTAGTGTGTGCCATGCACGGCCCACAGAGTCAGACTGAGACTGCCTTGCCATATGGCAGCCTCGAGGCAATGTTGCCACATAACACGTGCAGTGTTGCCACGTAATTACATATATAAATGCTACTCGGCACAGTAGCTTATATACAAGGTTGCTACTCGGCACAGTAGCTTAGATACATAACATACACTTATATTCATCTGTAGTTCTTCACTTAATACTAAAGAATCGTGCCGTAAGATTATCTGGTCGATCAGTTCAATACTGTTTGTAGGAATAGTCTCCCAATGAAGTAAAAATAAAAAAAGGAGCGTATTTTTGTGTTTTATCTTTATTCTTTTGCAATGGGTCGTTGTGCTCATTAAATGCTTTTATTATAATCTTTTTGTTGTTTTTGTAACAAGAACAATCCAAGTCACTTCAAACAGCTTTTTGAAACAATACCAAATTATGTCTTGTCAGCAGTCTTGCGGGCACTGTTCTTTTATTGCAGAATTAAGTACAAATTATCTCTGAAACTGAAAGGAATGTTTAATATCATAACTAAGGTTTCCGAGTTCTCTTTAGTAAAGACAATAACAAACGTAGTACCACATTTAGCAGAGCCCAGGGAATTCCTGGCACAGTGCTTCAAGCTGTATGTATTACCGGAAGGGGATATGACCTGATAGTAAACCTCAGCAGCCAATTTCTGCTGTATTACGTTCTCTTGAAGGATGACTACAACGTGACCCTCCACACGATGGCTAGTGTACATTATTCCAACTCTCAAAATATATATTACTGATTGTTGAATGTTCTAAGCTTGGACTCAGAGATTAAGGGTCACTTTTAAGGAGCTTCTTTGAATTCCCTGAATCTTGGATATAATGTTGGTCATCCATCAAGAACTGGACGATAAGTAATGCTTTTTGTAGCTGCCAGCTGATTTGCTACTAACTCTGACTCCACCGCACAGACGCCAGACCCCGATGACGACGAGGCCGCCTCACACTGCGACCAGGTAAATCGTTTCACCACAGCCCTCCCTTAACACACCTTCCTTCCTTATCATATTCCTTTCGTTGCCATTTTTTTCACTTTTGTACAAATAGATTCATTTATTTGTTAGAATTTCTTTTTATTTGTATATATAAGATCACATCTATGATTCATGCCCCAAATCCAGTTGAAAATTTTGTACATCATTCAGCTGTCACTTTATAAGTTCACAGTTAGCATAAAGCAAGAAATATATGATCCTTTAGAACTGTAAGACTTACATTTTTGGTGGTTTTGGGCCAAAAATTTGATTTTGCTGAAAATCACAGTATGGGTACTCCTGAGCTTGCTGATTATCAATACAGTATGTGGTCCACGATTCGATTGCAAAGTAATTAGTGGCCAAAATGGCCCTTGAAAGATTTCACTGACATTTTTCAGTGCTAATTACTCATCAATTATGGGTTTCCAAGGTGTGATTTAGGGTTTGTGTGTTATTCTGAAAGTACTTAATTAATTAAACCCCTTAAATTTAAATTCTGAGAAAAATGTATATTTTGGTCAAAAATTTTGTAAGGCGTAAGACAGGGGTGTCAAACTCATGGCCCGCTGGCCAAATGTGGCCCTTGGGATGGTCAGGTGTGGCCTGCGGGATGACGGTAAAATTTATCATCCCGTGAAATTATGAACAAAATAGATATAATCATGTTTATTTAGTAAAATGAATTTTACATACTTAAGATCAGACAAACCCAAATGAGGTATTCCTGGTAAGCCAGGTAAAGCAATGTGTGAAGCTGTTGGCCCTGAAGAGGGTAACTAAAATAAGAATTGGCCTTCGAAAAGTTTTGAGTTTGACACCACTGCTTTAGACACACACACACACACACACAGGTTCGGAAGTGGTACCATGTTGACTTTGACCCCAGCATGATCTCCATAAGGTAGAGGCGACACCAGTGAACCACAGAGTGAAGTGTTCCTCCAGGTGTTGGTCCCTTACCTCTGTTTCCTGTGACTCGGGTTGGTATACGTGGGCTTTACGCTATCCATTGGTTATCATGTTTTTACAGTAAAGAAAATAATAAAACTCGTCATTTTAATGTGAAAGGGATAGAGATCAATGGTATAATTAGCCAGAGTCATATTAACTTTTACTTAATGTTACAGACATGGACGCCCGCACCTCCCATGACCCCGGAACAAAGACAACAACAACAACAACTTCAACAACAACAGGTGAGCCATGGTGACAGTAAAATCAATTAGTTTGAAGTTTATTGTCCTATAAGAACTTTAGTATAAGTTACACTACAACTACAGTTATCACAAATATAAATCTTTTATTCAATACTTGTAAATGATATTGTAGAACAAAATGAATGTTAATAATGAATGACTTTCAGCACTGTACGTGTGAATTATCTTAAGGCTGCCACATCAGTCAACGGATCAGCCGTGCAGAAAAATTAATGAAATATAATTTCAGTTTGTACAGTACACCTAAAATGCTTTCACATTCACTCGTTTTAAAAGATCAATTATTTGAATAATGTTTTTTTTATTATCTAAGAATTTAAATAATTTGTTTTATTTCATGCTATATTTAGACCAAAAAATAGACAGTAATTACAGTGGATCAATTTAAAATTAAAATAGCGCAGTAAGAACACCGAAACTAATATGTATGCTGTACTGTATATATGGACCAATTACCTATTACCGCTGAAGGTCAAGGTGAGACAGAGAATGATGTACAGGTACAGGTATTTTCTTTAAGCTCAGATACTGTGTTCATATAACCATAGAGATCATATTGACAGACGGTTTAAAAGGTTGATGTAATTGAGCTTTTAAAATATACGAGTGTCCTTACATCTGTCTTACTATCATGATTACCTTTAAGGGAGACATAGATGAATTATTTATGAAGTATGCTAAATTTACATAAGATAAAACTATAGATATAACACTGTCTTAAATTACAGGGTTCGGGCATCCAGTCTTAGTAATGAAATTCTTTAAACATGCTTTTTTGATGTACAAAAATGGTCACTTTGTAATTACTGTATCAGTTTTTTAGTTCTTCATGGGTATGTGAAATGAAAAGCAACAATTTTAAGTGAAAAAGTAAGTTACTGTATAATATTGAATAATTCTGTGCATGATATAATGAATGATGATTATAAGTGTTTCATATAAAGTCAGTGATCAAAACTGCTGAACACACACACACACACACACACATATGGTCACTCTAAACATATAGTGGTTGGTGGTTTTTGTATTTTAGCAACAATTTCTAAATCTAAATAAGTTCAAAAGTCATTCAACCAAACCTATTCCAATGTACAAGATTTATGTGTTAGGCATTTCAAAATGCCCAGCCCGGATCTGCTAGTAAATCAACACCCACACTCACATACAGCCGCATTTTGAATGAATATAGTGACTGAGTAACATCCACCACACACCTCCGTCCGCTGACCTTCACACTCCGGTTCAGGAACATAAGAATTTTTACCAATAAACATTAAAAATCACCCGATTCCTTTAAACCATCAATAAACCTATAAATATTCCTCTAGGAAATTAATAACTTTACTATAAAAACCCTTTGTGTATATATTTTTCTCATAAGTACATCACCTTCCCACACCCTTAACTTCGCTCACTTTCACTTAGTCTCATTTTATGTAAGTTCAACACTGCTATAATTCACTCTTTTGTTTATTTTTTTACGTGCATTCCAGTGGCATGCTGACATATACTACACACACACACACACACATATATATATATATATATATATATATATATATATATATATATATATATATATATATATATATATATATATATATATATATATATATATATATATATATATGTATATAATAGCTGTATAATATATATTTTTGTCTTCATGAGGCATAACCACTTCACCCACAGTCAAACCAACAGTCACAGCCAACGATCAGAAAACTATCCAGGGAGGAAGGAAATCGTGACATGGAGCCCCCCATCAGGGATGATTCACATGGCAATATCCCCGATGACGCCACGAAGACCAATTTGGTTAAGAGACCTGGTCGAGAGAGGATCATCAAACTGGAGATCCCACAGCCAGGGGATAGAGAGGATCAAACCCCTAACAAGAGAGAAATAAGAGAGCAACCACGCAGGGAGAGAGTGAGGGAGCCGCCCCGGGAGACAGTGAGGGAACCGCCCCGGGAGAGAGTGAGGGAGCCGCCCCTCAAGAAGCAAAGCGTGGAGGAAGACCCGCTGGTGAAACAGGCGAATGAAGACATGCAGGAGAGACTCAGGCAGGTGGAGAAACAGAATCGCCTCGAGAGAGAAAGGAGGGAAGAACTGAGGAGTAAGAGGGATGAGTTGAGGAGGCAGGAACGAGAGAGAGAGAAGGAGAAGGAAGATGAACGGAAGCGACAGCAGGAAAGAGAAAAGGAGGAATTGAGAAGGAGACAGGAAGCGAGAGAAAAGGAGGAGCTGCAAAGGAAACAACAAGAGAAGGAAAGAGAAGAGATACGAAAACAACAACAAGAGAAAGAAAGGGAGGAACAGCGGAAACGACAGCAAGAAAAAGAGAAAGAGGAGTTACGTAAGAGACAGGAGGAGAGAGAAAGGGAATTACGAAAACGACAGCAAGAAAGAGAAAAAGAAGAATTCAAGAGGAAACAAGAAGAGAAAGAAAAGGAGTTAAGAATGAAAAAACAAGAGAGAGAAAAAGAGGAGATGCGAAAGAGACAACTAGAGAAAGAGAAGGAAGAACTGCGAAAGAAACAAGAGAAAGAGAAAGAAGAATTACGAAAACGACAACAAGAGAAGGAACAGGAAGAATTACGAAGACAGCAACAAGAGAGAGAAAAGAGAGAAGAGTTACAAAAGAAAGAACAAGAGAAGGAGAAACAGGATGAACTGCGCCGAAAAAAAGAAAGAGTGGAGCGAGAGGCAGCAGAGAGTAAGCGAGAAAGGGAGAGAAAAGAGGCTGGGGGGGTAGAGTCCAGGAAAACAAGCGTGGAGACAAACGACGCCCCACAAGACCGAGCTAATGTCTTTGGCGTCCAGCTTAGGTCGAGGAAGCAGTCCGACACGGCACCCAAGGCGCCTCCGAACGACAAGGAACCATCTAGCCCGACTGAAAAACTGAAGCTGAATGACTTAAGAAACAAGTGGGAATCCAAGATCCAGAATGAGAATGAACTGAAGGACAGGAGGAAAAGTCTGACGTTAAAACCGAAGCTGGAGAAAGAGGGCGACAAGGAGGACAATAAGCAAAAGGAGGAGCCACAGATTAAACAGAATAAGGATGACAAACCAGTTAAACATGTACGAATTGCCGACGACGAAAAACAAGCGTTACGAGAGAGAGAACCAAGGAAGAACAGCACACAGAAGCAACTGGAGGACCAACTACTGCAGGCCAAGATGATGCTACACCCGACAGAAATGAAAGAAAGAATTGATCTCGCAAAGAAAAAAGAAGAACTGAATAAAACAGAGACGAATAAGAAACAGCTAATAGGCCCCACCGACCAAGAGAAGAAGCTATTGCAGGAAAGGGAAAGATTGGGTAGTAAGGATAAGAAGCAGGAGGCCGCTACTCGAGTATGTATTGCCTGGGTGTGGCGCTACAATGACACGCCTCAACACGCTTTATAATGTTATAACGCCACAATGACGTACACCATAACAGGCTGAATGGCTTGGCTCGGTAGAAAGGGGCAAAAAACTAACGTCTCATTATTATTATTTATTTCATTATTTTACTTTTCGGTCATATGCAAGTTTGGTCTACCAGCTTTCTTTTTTGTTATATAATTACTGTGTACTCTTTATTTTCCTGACACAGATTTAAAACAAAACTTTAAATAATTTTAACAACATTAATAAGGAAATTGGTAATAACAAGCATCATAATGATTCAATAATAAGAATAACAGGCTAACTGAGGATTCTTAACTAGTTAATTTAAGTAATGTTTCAAAAGTTACTAATAGTAATGTGAGGTTTAGATGAAGGAGGGAGCACTGCTAGGCTGTTCTCTCACTCTCTTCGCCATCACCTCACAAGTAACCGCTGTTGAATAAAACACTCACAGGCTGTTGTCTCTTGTAGATGCGTGACTACTTGAGTGATAAAAAAATGAAAAGCCATGTAAGATTATGTAACTAATTGGTATAGTGTTGTGTACTATGTGAGGGCCTCTTTGGCCATTTGTATAATACATTTAATTTATTGTTATACGGTAATTTTACTTCAAGAGTTAATCGGAGGGGACTAGTACAGAGTTACCAACTTTAGGTGTCAGGATTGAAACTCTGCCCAGGCCTCCGTAACAGTATGAGAAGCTTGCAGAGGATGCCGGCCTGATGAAACTCAGTTGGCAATGCACACTAAGGACAGCTTTTTAGAGCACTAAATGTATTACGTACTGTATAGTGATTTTTAAAAATCTGAAATAAAAATAGTGTTGGAATAAAAGACAGGATGTTTCAGAATACATAAATTGTTGATGGCTAAAGTCTCGTTTGTTTTATTTTGCAGTACACCAACAAACCAGCGACTCCCGCCAAAGATGACCAGCGCAAGGTAGGTATTTCTGTTAATATAACAACTTCGCCTCGTAATGTACAAGGCATTGTTATAACATTTTGTATCGCAAATTACATGTCCAAATAAGTTGACTCATTTCTCTTCTTTGTGTTTTCAGTTTTTAATTATTGGTCTAGCCTTTTATTTCTTACATTTCACATCTTCTCTTTGACGTACAAGTATAATATCTGTTTTACTTATCGCTCTAACTACTGACTCGCATTCATGTAAGCAAGACTTTCCTAAATTGCTATTACTTTTGTTTTCTTAATCCTAACTATGATATTAACTAGCATCAGAGAGCCACACTTCGTCTTGGTGCCTGCAGCGTGTGACACTCTGATTCCCTTCTTACTCCACAGGACAACAGTAACACTCCCTCGGAACCCATGAACATGCCCGCTAGTCTAGCTGTTTCTCTCCTGCAGGAGGATAACACCTCCAGGGTCAGTACTAACTTGCAGCTTACCTTAGGCTCTCTTGTATTGAGTGTGGGGAAATAAAATTGCTTGGATATGGATAAAAAAAGAGGCTGGTTCATGCTAGCTTAGTAGAGTTACTCCCTCACATACACCACTTTGTCTCCAGGGTATAACATACAGTTCTACACTATCTTAGATATTCTGTTAAATATTGAGGTAATTTTTTGTAGTTTTCTTTATTCATTATTTCACTTACTATCTACCTTCAAATATTTTTTTAATAACTTGACACACTAATTAAATATTAATTAATGCGGAGGTTGACGGAATCGATGTTTTCCCCCACTAGTCATCATCCCCGATGGTTGAGGAACAGTGGGGGACACCACAGGAGCACTGGGTAAGTCATCCCCTTGGTGACTCCACTCTCCCTCCACCCACATGTTTTACCTCTACCCTGACCTCTACTACGTGTTCCAGTTAACTCTGTATCCATCATCCACATGGTCGAAGTCATTCCTGTAGCAGCCACCTGTAACCTAAGATCCAACCTTGTATTGCAGATGAGTCAGAACAACCTTATAAAGAGCTGTGTGGGGCAGTAGTTCCTGATGACCCTTACCACTTGTTACAGATTCTTCGTCCTTCACTGATCCTCCTCCGTGTACCTTTACCCTTGACAGCTTCACATCTCTCCTCGTGTTCCAGAGTTCATGTTGTTGTGATCATAACTACCTGAGGGATGTATATCTTGTAAACCTCATCATGTCAGTTTAAATCTTATCCTTTTCTTCCAGGGCAATACTGTACCATATGACCCAGTTTGTTTTCCCTCATGTAAAAAGTCGTTTCTTTTTCCAATGTCTGAATCTAAAACCCCCATTCCAGGTCACTCCCGATTATGTAATATTACTGCATGTTGCTCTAACACCCACTACACTTTTTCAGGGTCACTTAAAATATATCTGGCTGATGCATGGAAACTCTGTTGTATCCATGTGTTTCAGTCATCCCTGACACCTTCATTATCTGGCTTCTTATCAATGTTTCTCTTTTACTTTAACGAAAATTATGTCTTTACTTCTAATTCAGTATCTCTAAACCAGAGAACTTAATTTGAAGTACAGCTGTTATACTGCCACTTGTTCACACACTTTCCCTGGGTTAGTTAATAACTGCAATACTTCAGGAAAAACTCAAAATTCTTATGTCACTAGCCAATGACTTGTCTCCTGAAGTCATTCAGCCCAGTTTAAAGTTATTATGTCTCCGGGGATGTCGTGTACTGTATATATAAACAGAACTGAGGCCAGATTTTCATATGAACTCGGAACACTCGGCTGTGTGCGACAGTGTTTGCGCGTCCAATATGAACCAGCATTATTGTGACAACACTCCCTGGACCGTAGTTTACAGCAACCTAGACTATAGAGTATACCGTTTGTGCCATAGTTAGTGTTTGTGATAACACACAAAAGGTGTGGAACTAACACCTTTTATCATGCTCTTACTTATATAAATTAGCAGCTTAAAATCATTATAAGAATAGTTACAATATCGCAATTATTTGTGCAACAATGTAGTAACCTTCGCTTGTAGTGATAATGACCATGTGTAGTAAAGTCTTCCATAGATTTAGATGAACTACGTTATGAAATAATGTTGCTAATCTACTATCTGAAACTCGGGCGCGTGTAACAGTCTTAATACCACGCCAGTCTCTTTGAAATGAACTGATATAAACTATTAAAGCATTTAAGATTCGCTTCCAAGCTCTTGCACACTTGAAGAATTAAAGTTTGAGCTAAAGAGTTATTTTTTTCTTAGATTTAACCAGTCATAGTTCACACCAGTATCTTGTGCTGACAGTCAGCTGACGACGTCAACTGACATCTCTCCGATTCTCTTCTGATGTAACCAGATGCTTTTGAGGGCGAGGAAATATGTCTAGGTGAAGGGGTCCTCCTCCTTTCCTCCTTCACTACTCTTGATGCTGGCTCAGTCACGCTTCTTGTTTTCTATAGATGTACATATTACCAGTAGCATTATGGTACTTGTCACGGGGGGCGTCGTGCTGTGGCAGGGCGTCCAGATAGTGTAGGGAAGTCAACAAACATTCCAAGCATATAGCTACTGTAATTTCTTATAGATATCAAGTGCCCTCAAGCCTGGGCAAAAGATAATTCAGAAGGAGGAGGAGGAGGAAGATTCAGATGAAGACGAGTCTGAAGAAGAAACAGAGGATGAAGAATCAGATGAAGAAGAATCAGAAGAAGAAACCGATGAAGACGATGAAGACGATGAGGAGTCTGTAAGTGATCACCAACAACAATGGCCGATGATGCTGACGTGTGTTTCAGAGACGCTGCCATAGCTTCAGCTTGCCAATTACTCATTATTTATGATTTCATTCATTTTTTTTATAATTTCTCTTAAAAAGTTTTCCTTTGCTCATAATATATTAGAACAATAATGGAGACTTCGAGGCGATATGATATGACCCTCTAGTAACAACTCGTAGTTCTTGTTGCTTTGCGATCTTACTCACAAAACTTGTTCGTAAAATGCTTCTTTGGCGTAATTTTTGGGGCACATTTTATATACTTCTACTTAATTTTCGACTCCTTGCTAATACCTCCGATTATGGAGAGCAGGAGAGAAGGTTCTATAGCTGTATGGTTCAGGTAGACGTTGGTAGTTTCTTGTCGTCTGGTCTGGCGGAGTGACTCACAGGTCATTCTCACCTGTACTGTACATCTTCGTTATTGTGGTACTGTTCGTAACGACGTAATTTACTGCGACAACAATCTTCAGCATCTCTTCGTAGCGTTGTGACTGAAACGCCTTGTTGACTACATTGGCTACAAACTATTACAGTGTTCAGTGAGTGATCTGTTCATACTCTGCAAGTTTTCTTAGGATGCCGAGGGCGCTGTGTGCAGAAATAACAGTATCAGTCTTATATCGTCTGGGCTCTTTTATATACAATTTTGGTAACTGACCTTCCCCTCAAACTACATCCAGAGTACATCCGGAATGCACCCAGAGTACATCCTTAGTGCATCCAGAATACATCCAGTGTACATCAGTCAGAGAAACTTCAATTCTTGCAACAGTTTTATTTTTATACCTTCGATTCAGTTGACTTTTGAACCTTATAGCTGGTGAATTTTAACCTCCCTTTTTGGAGCTAACCCTTGACCCCCTGCTTTGTGGACCTAAACTATGACTCCCCCTGTGGAGCTGATCTTTGACCCCTCTTGTGGAGTTGACCTTTGACCCCCATGTGAAGCTGATCTTTGATCCTCTCTTGTCGAGTTGACCTTTGACCCCCCCTTGTGGAACTGACCTTTGACCCGTGTGAAGTTGGCGTTTGACACCAACTTGTGGAGCTGAACTTTGACCTCTGTAGGTGTAAACTTTGACCCCTGTGGAATTAGATTTTGACCCCTATTGTGGAAGTGACCTTTGACCCCTGTGGAGTTGACATTTGACCCTTGTGACAGTTTATTCCCACATTTGATCTCTGTGGTTTAAAGTTATCTAAATCTCTCTTTTAATATTTCACTTTAAACTCATGTTATACTGATGAATAGGATCTCTCTCTCTTACTCTACTCTACTCTTGTTTGGTCCACCATAATTGACTTAGGCTCAAGACCAACCACTACCTTTCTTACATTCAATCAATATATTATTTCTCTTTATATTATAACTTACAAGTTAACAAATATATAAGTTGGATTATTTTATAATCTATATTTTCAGTATTTAATTTATAACTACAGCTTTAATGCAATAACCTACTGGCACATGATGGTGAACCTGGGACTAAATTTCAATTCATATATAAAAAGAAATGAAAAATATCTTTTTTTTTTTTTTTTTTTTTTTTTTTTTTTTTTTAAAGAGTCCCAGATCCACCAGTCACAACACTTGGTCTTGTGATCGAGTGTAAGTCATGTTATTGAAGCTAACAGTGTTGTCGCTTGTGTACTAGTGTGTTCATCCCGCCAGGTACCTCAGGGAGAGTCGTCTGGAGTATTTACCATGGACGCTGACGACCACCAGGTGAGAAGTGCGTCCTTGTATCTGGCGAAGGATGTGAGAAGCTGCATGTGTGTGTGTGTGTGTGTGTAGTTTTTGGGTCTCAGAAATTTCTAACATATCATTTTCTCCAAACTTTTGGTAACATGAGAGATACATTTTTTTTTTGCTTAATCTTTTTTTAGCTATAATGTAGCTGACTAAATGAGTAAGTTGGATGTATTCTTACATCAACTAAGTACGTGTTGGGGAGGGGATGGGAAGGCTGATTTTGATGATGAACCTTTGAGAATCCGTGTTATAGGTTACTGGCTAGAGGAACGGGATATCTCTCTCACTCTTTCTTTATTGTCCTTCTCACCGTCATTAGTTTCTATCATTAGTTATTCTTCTTTTATTTCTGCATTATCTGAAACACCCAAGTCATCCACTTAGTGCCTATTACAAAGTATATTTTATCTCTACTTGTTATGGTGTTCTCTGCTGGTCAGGCTCCGCTTCCCAACTTTTGTCTCCAGGTTCTTGAATTTTCACTTTATCTATTTCCTCCTTTTTTTCCAGATTTTTTAACTTTGTGTCTTTTCCTCTGTTTTATTTAATTATCTTATCTCCTTCATATTATGCCGCCACAATAATTAACTCATCATAGTTCTCCTGTCGATTAGATCTCGCCTTCTCTGCCTCTTCTTCATTCTCCCCCTCTTCTTCTTCCTTTTCTTCATTCTCCGTCTCCTCATTCTCATATTCTTCCTCCTCCCTCTCTTCTTTCTCTTCTTCATCCTCCACTTCCTCCTCCTTGCCAAAGTCTACATCAGTCGAGAGAGAGAAGAAAGAAAGAAAGATAGTACAGTACAGTATTTACATTTCACCACAAAAAAATCATTTCAATTATCCAGTAATAATTTAGAACCTTAATGGAACTCATCAGTCTCTTAAAGAATATACATGTAAGTATTATACAAAAGGTGAAAAACCATACCTTACTATATGTACAGTTTGTTTATATGATAGAAGTAACTTAAGAATATTCGTGCTTGGCTCAGTAAACGTGACAGAAGTTCCTATTTCAGACATTAGTATATATATCTTTGGTAATGGTGCAGACGGATTACTGTAAAGCCTCTTAATTCACGAGAATACTGTGAAGTTTAGAAGACACACGTTGGACCCAAATGATCAAAGACTGAATACGTAATGTTTTCTCCCTTGGCTGGTGATGAGAAATCGTAAAATACATCACAATGGCGTAATCTCTCGAGGTAGATAAGATGTAAGTTTTGATCATCAAGGTTTTTGGTGATCACTTGAAGATTTGTCATCCCAGGTTATTTTTCTTTGATGTCTAAATACCCTAACACTAAACGAACATAATTTCATTCCTTCAGGTAAGTGCTCGGGTGTTTAATCATCATGTGAATTAAGTTTGGGTGCCTAATCGTCATGAAATCCATCTTTCAAAACAAAGTTAATGTATGATGGTCTTTGAGAATGCAAGGTCCTGAAGGTTAACTTTCTTCACTAAATGTGTTGATGTGTTGCAGGAGGAGGAGCCACCAGTCACGAAGGCCAAGACTCTCACCAAGACCAACACCCCGGTGAGTACAGGAGGGGGCTGCTGGCGGGCGGGTGGGGGGGGAGAAGGGAGGGAGGGAGAACGTGAAGAAAGAAGTAATGGTAGTAAAGGAAGAAAATAAAGGAAAGTTAGTATCGTTGGGAAGAAAATAAGAGGATAGTCAAAAGAAAGGGGGTAATGGAGGAAGAAATGAAAGTGTAAATGGTAAGATATGGAGGATGAGATCATGAGAAGGAAGCAAAAGAGGAACAGCTGGAAGATGAGCAACGGGAAGAGGAGTTTTTGGGGGAAGGATCACCAAGTAACAACGAGTCTTGACACAGTGACTCAAAACAGGATCAAGGAAGAGCAGAAATTCTCCTCTTCTCCCTCTTTCTTGCTTCCTCCTCAGTTTGTTCGCCATGGCTACATTCTGGTTACTGTCTTTTACCTTTTTCCACGTTAACCATTTCCTTCCAGGGGATGATGATGATCTCGTGTGTACCAGTGGATATTGTTGCCACTTCTGATATTCTCACAGTGGCTAGTTTTCTTCCATGCAGTATACTATTACTCTGTTTTCAGTCTATTAATTAACTTATTATTTATTTCATCATTTGATTTTTTCTAATAACGTATCAATGTTGAAAAGCTCACATCTCCTAATTGGCCGTAAGTTATGTTCCGTTTTTCTTTTGTTTATAGTTTAACGGCTACGAGGCAACTAAAGATTAGGTTAATTACATTTTGTAATAATCTCCAGCTTATAGTGGTCAATTATAACATCTTCCTCCGCATCCATTTGTTGTGATGTCTTACTATACTGTACCTGGTAATTATTAAAACTTGGTGAGACAGAAAGATTCTGTAGAAGTATGGAGGATATTGCAACCACAGGATGCCAAGACACTCATTGTAAGGAAAATTTTATTGTTAAAGATAATAATATCTACCATTATAAAGTAGATATACAGTAGAAGTTCCCTCATCAAAAAATAAGAAAAAATAAGATTTCCTACTGATAGAAAAATACAATCTAATATCAAAATCCTGTACAACTTTTGATGTGGTCTACAACACAGTACTGTATACCGTGTTGTAGGTTATAGAACATAAATCCTCTGTAACATGCAAGGGAAAATATAAAAGACACCAACGCAATTAAGTATGTAATTGTACTATGTCGTTAGGTATATGCTTATCAATCATGCACGGCGTGAAGTGTAGAGGTGTGTGGATGAGAGAATACTGCCAGTTGTGACTAAAGTCTAGACTATGTCCCAGGTTCGAAATATTCCCAATTTCCTTAATTTTGTGTGTTCTACACAGTTATCATGCTTCATTTAAACTAATTTAAATATATTTGTAAATTTCAAAATAATTAAATCGGTGTATATGATACAAAAGTATTAGTATTACATAAAAACCTGACCAAAAGTGTCTCGTGCGTCTTTTCTTTTTAACTAATAGATTTGTCCATATAAAGGCTCTTAGTAATGAAAGGGGTTTCTTGCAGCCTCAGAAGTCTAAGCTACAGAGTCTCTTGGGTGCAGACTTCCCCAGCACTGACCCACAGGTCACTGAGGCAGAAAACACTGCCACTCCACCCAAGTCCAAGCTACAGGAGCTTTTGAGCGCTGGTTTTCCTCCCTTTGTGGAAAAACCATCTGATCCTCAGACTTCCACCTCACTTGAGAAAAAGTCTGAAACACAAGAAAACGTCAATGTTGATTCCCCTGATGTGACTGGAAAGTCGGGGGAAACAGAGGAAACTACTTCGTCACCAAAATCATCATTCGTTCAAGAACTATTGAACGCTGGTTTTCCAGGCGCTGAAAAAGAACCAGGAGAGATGGAAAGTTCTGCCATCAACTTTGCGGAGCAGATGAATGATATTGTAAATTCCTTTGAGCCTCAGAATAACGAACAAACCTCAAATACCTTACATCACCTGCCAGAAGACCTACAGTTAGACCTGCATACAGTTGAAGAACAGCTGCCTCAGTCTCTGGAGGAAACAGCAACAGATCCACAAAGTACAGAGACTGTAGAAGTGACGGAGCCGCACCTTCAGGACTCTAACACTCAAGATATTTTATCCTGTGACCCAGAGACCCAAGTGACTAAGACCAACAATTATCCAAACTTCGAGTCCAAAATCATAGGAGAAGAAAAACTAAAAAATGAGTACGACCAGTATACACCGGCGGTAAGATGGCCACTGTGACGAGACCCTAGCAGCGGTGAATCTTAAGTGGAGGCTGTGTGGGTTCGTGACACTCGTATCTCGCGGGGGAAATATACCTTATAAGCTCTCACTTAAGACTTATCAATGCTGTATTTGTTGCTGCCTTAGCATGAAATTTTTCCTCGTCAGTTGAGTTCCAGAGATGGTAGGAAGATGCAGTCACCTGCTTGTTGTGTCACCAATTGCTTTATTCTTCTCTATTTGAGAAACTTGGATCCTTTGCTCTTAAGAGTGACAAAATTTTCATAGATCAAAATACGGGCATGTAAATACCTACATGTGAGTGTTTACCCCCAATAGTGCACCTTGCATGTCTATCCTGCATTTCAAAGGTCAAAATACTTTACATTATTAATTAAGGTGCCAGTTGTCTGTTTCCCAGCATGTTGTAGCTTCAACATGATGAAAGAAGTCCACTGTGTACTTCTCTTCTTCTGAGTGTTATGTCATGTTTAGCAAACTCTGGAGCACATCCTCACGCATGTCATCCACTTGCATGGAACATGTTTATGAAGCTGCCTAAAGAAATGTTTACACATTGACTATAGTGTACAAATATTTCTAAGCTGCCTGGATACAGCAAGGAGGGTATTGAAAGGTAATGTGGTACATGTATTCGTAACTTGCAGGTTTATGAAACAAATGTTGAAGACAAAGCTAACGATAACGACGAGGGTAACGAAGAAGATGACGAAGGAGAGAAGGCAGACCAGATCACGGCATTACCGGTATACATTCTCCCAGCCCTTCTCCCCCTCTCCCAACCCTCCACACCCTCTTCCAGCCCTCCACACCCTCTCCCAACCCTCATCACCCTCTCCCAGCCCTCCTCACCCTCTCCCAACCCTCTTCTTCTTCGAGCCCTTTTCCCACTCTCCTAACCCTCCTCACCCTCTCCCAGCCCTTCCCCCCTCTCACAGTCCGTCTCCCCCTCTCCCAGCCCTTCTACCTCCTCTGCCAGCCCTCCTACCTCCTCTGCCAGGCCTCCTACCTCCAACACCTACCTCAACAACAACAGCAACATTACGGCGCTACACTCTTCCGATGACTTCATACTCTTGAATACCTCTAAGACATTTCTCTAGAGTGTTTTCTCCTTCTCTCAGACCCAGTGAATGACGACTTTTTCCACAATACCCTAAACAAGGCTGCTTAACTTCCCTTGTACTGACAGTCCTATGGCAAAGAATAGAATATTTGGCTCTTAACATGTTAATTTAACAAGTGCATGTTTATCAACCTTTAGTTTCACTTAGCATATAACATAACGTTTCACTTGTTAGTTCCTTTGCATATACATTGCTTACAAAAAGTTTAGTTAAATTGATGTATAATGTATTAATAATTTAGCTTTGCTTTATAGTTTGTTGCTTGTGCTCACATTTAAGCTAATTAGCTGATTCTTTGTATAGTAATTTATTATTTAATTTATTTTCATATAGTTCTTGATTTTGTTTGCTTTATGGCTATTTGATATGGATGATTGTAGTGGATGATAGTGGTAGATACATGTGTTGTTGGTTGTGTTGCAGAGTGACAGTGTCTTGTACTGGTGGGAGCAGCCGGAAGAGGAGCCTGTCAACACCAAGGTGCTGGTTACTCCCACGTGTCTCCCACACACTCTCTCATGCCTTCCTCATACTCTTACACCCCCACCTGCCTTCCCCATATTCTCACACTCTTATTTGCCTCTCTAATGCTCCCACACTTCCACTTGCTTCCCTCATACTCCCACCTGTTTCCTCCACATTCCTTTCTCTTTTATACTCCTACACTCCCACTTGCCCCCCTCACACACACACACACTTTCTCTCTCTCTCTTACCTCCCTCACACTGTCACTCTCTAACAAGCCTCCCTCACACTCACATATACTCACCTTCCCTCATCGTTGCTGCTTCCCACAATATGATATAAAGAACTTCCTCTGTCAACAAGTATAAGTATATTAACATTCATCTGTTGTAGGTATTAGAGGCACAGCTAGAATTTGCCTAAAGGGAGGGGGTAGGGAAGAATTGGCAAAGGGAGCACAGACCAAATTCGTAACAATCCACCCCAATTATGCTGGACAACTTATAAGAAGAAAGTGTGAATAAAGTTTTACATTCCTCCATCCTTGTGACTACAGCAACACCAAGCTGAAATCACAATCTTAGTGCTTCACCTGTAAGAGTCTGATTCCTGAATGAATAATTAATTTGTCCTGTCAGTTTAATCTAAACATCAATATCCAACTTATTACATTGTTATATCATATTATTAATTTATCACATTCAAAATACGATATTTTTTTCCATTTTCAAAAGGAGGCAGAACCTCTGCCCCTTCCCCCACAGCCCACCTGACTGCACCACTGTCATATATCACTTAGATGTACAGTATAGTATTATAAATCTATCATCTAAAGACCAGTTTATTAACTGATTAGAACTACCATTAATAACAGTAATAATAATCCTATATGGAGTCATAATTTGTCTTACTTTAGCTTATTAACAAGGGAGTTATGCAGCATGCAATTTCATACATTAATGCACACACAAAACCAATACAATATCCTTCATCAAAAATGCTACTTAAGTTCGGTTGGGTTGAGTTAGGTTTGAATGGGTATGGTCAGGTTAGGCTGAGACTGGTTACGCATGTCAGGGAGGGCAAACTGTGATGGTCAATGTGACGCAATATATACCTTACTCGATCGAAGCCATACATTTTATGGAATTTTTATTTTACACACTGCGCAATAGGAAAAATACAAAACATGCAGAGCTTGTGAAATTTTCACATTAAGCTGAAGGTACATAATTTACAGGAGACGGAGCTGATGTGGTGGGAGCAGCCAGCAGCGGAGGAGACCACAGACAAGGTGCTGGTTCTCTCTTCTTCCTCACCTTTCCTGCCTCCACCATCTTAAATATAAACAACTTGTCAATATTGACCATATACCTGTACTGTGAATCGTATTCCAATATTTCTCGCTTCCAAACACGTAAAAATTATAATTAACAAAAATATATATAGTATATTGACTTTCAAATAAATGAGTTGACATAGTAGTATGTTTTATATGTTTCTAAAATGGTCATGAATGTACAACAACAAGTTTAACAAATTTATTGACAAAGCTTGGAGTACAGTTTGCCTATTCTGAGTAATTCAGTCAGGTCTTGACACTGAGGGTGGTATCACTCACTGCCATGCATGACAGAGGTTCATACATAAAGGAATAGATCTTATTCATTAGCAGTATATATCGGTCAGAGTAATGTGGGTGTTGTCACTGTTCACTGTCATGCAGGAGAGTGGTTCATATACATTGGACGTCATATTCTAATTGAAGACTAATCAGTGTGGGCTAGCAAATTTTGGATAAACAGCAAGAATGTCCTCAAGCACCCCTGATTCAATGTAGAAATTACAAAGTTCATGATACAATAAGCCAGGTGGCCTGAAGTCTTTGACAGTGTCACATTCAATAATATAGTGTTCAAGTGTATGCTTTAGAGGTTTATCACAAAGTTTACATGCTGAGTGTTCCCGTATGGGTACAGCGTTACTAACTTCCCAGATGTGTCTGTATCCTAGCCTAATTCTGGCCACAACTATATCACATTTTCTAGTTTTGTCCTTATGCTGGCCATACTGGTACTTGGGCACAAAATGTTTCATATTTACGTACAATCCTCGCCACTTATAAGCTACACAGACTGGCAGGATCGAATTCCTAACCGGCAACTTCACTGGGCCTATCCCTCCTCTACCCCCTAAACATACAAACCAGGTGATTAATCGGTGGTCAGCCAAGGTGTAAAGCCTGTGTGGCTTGTAAGTGGCATGGACTGTACAATACTCATATACCGTAGGTGTTTTGAGAGGTTTATGATGGTGTTACTTCCTCACCTTTCAGAAGGACTCGGGGCTTATGTGGTGGGAACAACCTGCAGAGGAGGAGACACAACCTAAGGTCTTTAGTGGATTTCTTTCCTATGTGGTCTCTACTGTAGTTCCATGGTTTCCTATTCACTTCTAGCTACATTCTTTCTCCATGGTCTCTAGATGTGTTCCCCTTCTTTGGTCTCCCCATGGTCTCTAGATGTGTTCCCCTTCTTTGGTCTCCCCATGGTCTCTAGATGTGTTCCCCTTCTTTGGTCTCCCCATGGTCTCTAGATGTGTACCCCTTCTTTGGTCTCTCTATGGTTTCTAGGCGTTTCCTACATCCATGGCCTTGTGCTCCCCATGGTCTCTATCTCTTGATATCTAAATCGTGTTCTTTTATTGACTGGTAGCCCTGTTCTCTACCTTTTGAGTCTTCCTTTGTTCTCTAACCATGTTCTTTCCCCCTTGTTCTCTAACCGTGTTGTTTTCCCTTATCTCTGTTTAATATTATCCAGTTCTTATCTTGCTAATGTCCTTGTTTTCCGGAATATTATCACAGCCAATTTTAACCTCTGCCTTTTTATTTTTTTGCTTCAATTATATTTTGTTTACCAGTTTCTTATGGTAATTATTTTGCTACAGTTTGCATATATTCACCTGTGATATTTTGCTTCATTTCTTAGTTTAAACTTCTTTATGTATGATAATGTTTTTGCTAAACATGTTGCAATAACGCTTTGCAATACACACAAACACTCACTCACTCAAATAGCACACGAAAAATCCAGCCACACTTAGAATGACAATTAAAACTTACAAAACACTATTACGAACACTTGAACCAACTCTGCACACATATTAATAATAATAATAAAATTAACAGCAGGTGTGAGCAGCTTTTTTTTCCTCCTCCTCACTTACAGGCCTCCAACAGTCCCCTGCCATGGTGGGAACAACCTGAACCTGAAGTCAATAGGGTGAGCTTCTGCTTCTACTGGAGTTGTCTTTGTCCTCTTAGGTTTAGCTTGCATCTTTATTTTTTTTTTATCTTCCTCTTAGACTCAGCTTAAATCTTCATTCTTGTCCACCTGTTAATCTCAGCTTTCATCTTTATCTTTTTCTTTCTCATATTTCTTCCTTCCTCTTTGTTACTCTGAATCCTCTTTATCGTTATTCATATTTCACTTATCACATCTTCATTTAGTCCCATTTCCTCTAATTATCCCCAGTGTTACTTTCCTTTACAAAACCATTATTAGTCAAACTGCTTTATTTATTTATATTTATTTTACCTTTTGAGTCTTTTATTTTCTTTAACCTTACCTCAGTGTTATGTTTTGATATACAGTGAATGTATTTCTCTGCACCTACTTAATTCTATATATTTTTGGGGGATTCATTTAGACTATTTCCAAACTTATTTCACTTTAAGATTAGCTACCCTAAAGCTAACAGTCTGAGAACGTTTATTGGAGAACTGTGGTCGCCAACCCTGAGATATGAGGGCGGTATTCTAACATAACCCAACATAATCTTTTTTTTTTTTTTTTACGGTCATTAACCCACTCAGGCACAGGTCATTTTTAATGACCCACATCAAGGCCTTGGGGGGCAAAAGTATAATAAAACAACAATAATAATAATAATGATGATGATGATGATAATAATAATAATAATAATAATAAATAACAATTATAACAATTAATAAAAATTATAAATAATAATAATGAGCCATAAATAAATTTAGAAAAAATGAAAAAATATCAAGTGTGAGAAATACTGTATGTATATTGTGTTGTCAAAGCAAGAGAAACAATTGAGACCCTGCAATTAAGTGTAAATGAGGCAGAAAGTCAGATCAGCAACCTGGGACTTGGTCACAATTTTCGTGATGCCATAAGGCAGCAGGGTCTACCATTAGACAACACATTATGCTTCCAATATCTTCCCAGGCGGTAGTACCTCCCTGTTTGATAGCTGCCTACTACCTATCTAACAGTAACCTAGGCTAGCCTTACGTAAGACAACGTAACCTTACCTTACCTACCCCCTCTCCATGTTGCATTAGGGTTAGTTTAATCATCAGGTGAAATAATCTGGGGATAATCTTCCAGATGACCCCTTTTTTGCTGTGGTGGGAACAACCTGAAGATAATAGGGTGAGAGTCTCCTGCTGGGTTGTGCTCGTCTCCTCCTCGGTCAAAAATAAAAACTTTGTAAACTGCTTTATATCACCGTTTCTTGTCTCTTCATAATCATGGAGTTGCCGCACCTCATAATGTTCTTGGATTTGTTCTTCTTGTTATATTGTTTTTACTGTCAATATAGCTGTTACCAGATGAAACTGATTCCAATTGCAATCCATCTCACAACCATCCTTTTTTGTTCTTTACATTGACTTATTATCGAACTTTTGTTTCAATTGCATCATGAAATACCATTTCTTCTTTTCTCTTTTTTTTTTTTATATATTTAGTTGCAATCCTTGATTAATGCCAGTGTTTCCTTTAACTGATCAGTTTTGTTATTATTATTATTTTTTTTTTATTTTTTTTTTTGCATTTTTAAAGAAATTTTTTTTCCTACCTTCTTCATTTATAGTATTTTAGTTTTTTTTTTCTTCATTTTCACCAGGCATGGAGTCCAGGCTCACCAATTTTCAAGAAAGATGTGATGGACCACATGGTAAGGTCCTCCATTAGTGTGTACTGTACTCTGTCTCACATTAGAATGCATTTTAGTGGAAGAATTCCGTGTTTATAATGCCTTGTCTCTTGCCACACACAACTGGAAGCCATGATATAGTTAAGATAAGATAAATAAATAGTACCAGAGCAACGACTTATTTTCTACAGTTGCCAGTATTGAGGAATGCATTGTAGTCTTAAAATTAGCAGTAGTATGTAGTAGTAGTCCAAGTGATAGATTTTTATAATAGCATTTGTTGAAAGATGAGCAGTTATCAACAGTGTGATGGATTTTGTTTTCAGGAAAAGGACACGGGTAATGAGGAGTGGTGGAAGAAATGGGACACGGTACGAGTGTAACTCAATTTTATTACTATTACCTGTGTATATTACCATTCTTTGTATACAAGAGTGTCTGTGTGGTGTTGTTTATATTGATTTTCTTCCCTATCAGTCTATACTTCTCGTCGTAACAAAGGTGTCTTCCCTGATTTCTTGTTCCTACAGAAGTGTACAGTAGTTCTCCATTATTTACTGACTCTAATGTCACTGTTTACTTTCATTCTTTCTTGTCTCTTGATTATTGTTTTGTATATTGTTTTTATTTGTTTACTTTAATTCATATATTAACAGCCATCTGTCAAGTTATAAATAAATAAATTGGTCTAGTCTATGTTGTTAGTGTTCAATGTCTTGCTCTACTTGGTGCCAATTATGTTTTTGTTTTTTCTATACTGTATTTGCCTTTTTCTTCCCATAATGATTAGTTTTTGAGATACACAACATAGTATCTTTGTATTGCTTTCTGTAGTTAGAAACTATTGGCACTCTAAATACTATGCTCTTTTTAACTTTTTTTTTCTGAAATTTTAGTCAAAATTAGGTTCAGTTCATTTGTAGAAGTAAGTTTGCTAAACCTTTCCATGCTCCATTTTTTGGAGTACACTTTGCTAAAATTTCTATTCTGTAACCACAAAGATCCTCCAACAGTGAAAATTATTTTGTGATGTTCCAGATGCTAATATATGGTTTTTACATTATTGTTTAGCGAGCAGATCCCACGCCCATCACGCTCTCCAGGGTGAGGAAGGTGAGAGAGCCAACACTTCCTCCTTTATATGTCTTCTTATAGTATGTCAATAACCAAGAATTTTATGGAATCCCAGTGTTATTATTTCTCAGATGTGATATACTAATTAAAAAATTACATGACCTGAAATAACTACAAATGACAATACATTGTTTGGAGTCTAATTGGGTAAGGTTATATCATGTGATGCTCCACACAGGCGGCGCACGTCACACCCTGGTGGGAGACGCCCCTTGAACTGGTAGGTGATGCTTGCTTTGGCTGGCACTACCTGGTTTCTCTCTCCATAGCGCGTTGTTCACCATTTTCTCTACCAAGCTCGTGATATGATTTTATCTTTCCCACATTCAACAGTTGTATCGCACGCATAATGGTTGTGAACACTTCCATCCTGTCGATTAAAATCAGCGTACTCTCTCTTCCACACCTGAACACCCATTCTGTTTCTAGCACGAACGTTTTGTGCTCTTGAAAACTATGTTTGAATTTCGATCGATTCCTTGCACGTTACCCCTAGTAATTTTTGTTTCAAAATTTGTAATGTTGCACCTCTCTTGGCCTTATACTTTACCTAGAATATTTGAATCAACATCTCGCCATCAAGTTCTCTAGTCCAGCTTTCCCTCTCTGTCACCTTCAAGTACTTCCCTTGATTATTGAATGATTTACCCATTGATGTACAGACCCCTTAGCATGCATCCCTAGTGGGGCCTGCAGGCAGTTCCTGAGGAGATACAAAATGGTGGTCGTGTGTGTGTGTGTGTGTGTACTGACTGTGTGTGTTAATTACAGAAGGTGAGCGCCCCATCACAGCCCCCACTGCCGCCTCCTCCTCCCCCTCCAAAAGTAAGGAGATGATGAGTGTTCTGGCATGTGTCACACTGCTCATGTTTTTTGCTGATAACCATAACTGCTTCCCACGGGCCATGATGACTCACACCTGCCTGGCTCACTATAACACTCTCCAGATTCGGTGTCCTTGTTAGAAAAAACTTAGTTACTTAGTGGTGTTGAAAATATATTGTATAAATTGTGAATCAACTAACTAAATTCTTTATCAACATTTTTTTTGCTTCAGTTCTCAGTAAATGAATTCCAGGATTCTTCAGTATTTATATTCCATTGATAACTGAATACAAAATAAAATCAGATTTGTAATATTTACATCAAATTGTAACTCTCATTATCAAAATTAGTTTCAAGGTGAAAATATTGGTGCTTTACTGTTCATTTTGAACATTTATAGCATGATTTTTTCTTCTGCTAAATTACTGTTTGTCATCATGAATTTTGAGGAAATCTTACTAACAATTATTAATTTAGTGTTTAAAATTTGCCAGCATTGCTTACTGTAGTGTTAGTTAGCTTGTATGCTGGTGCTCACTGGAATCCACTTGGCTTCATAAGTGTTTCATTAACTCATCTTGTTTTCATATAATATAAATTGAATATAACTTAGATTCCATAAATTAAAACAAAGTGGGTCAGATAATGCTAGAGCTCATCTAGCTGTGTCTTATAGCCCTTGTCTGATCTTAATGTCTTGTGTTCAAAGCATCTGTCATGATTTCTGAATCAAGTTATAACATAACCTCATAGTACTCATATGATCAAGTTCTTCCTCTTTCAATCTAACAATAACTCCTCCAGACTCTAGAGCTGTCTGTCCTTTATGTTAGCTTGAGGCCGATTTACTCTCTGCTGAACTTGTGGCTTGAGTTAAGAGTTAGTCAGCTGGAGGCATTGTGTTTGTTTACTTGCAGGATCCTCCCAGCACGACAGCCTGGTGGGAGGACGCACTCGTTGCCACACAGGTACTGATGCCTCCCTCTCACAGTGTCACACTCATCACCATCACCACGCTAGTGTTTCCCCTCCTTTATTTTTGAAGATGTAGCTTTTCTTTTTAACTTATGTCGCTGAGGCTCTTTGATTCATGAACAAAATATATGAATAGATATGATTTTAATAATTGATTGAATGATCTTTTCTTCAACTACTGTGATAGGATAATTAAAGAGATTATTGTTACATGTGTCTGTGCTTCTGAACAAATTTGGTTCCCATCATCACCTGTATGATTCATTCTCATTACTTCATTACTGTACTCCCTTTACCTTGCTATTTTTAGTTTACATATGTACACATACATACATACATACACACATACAGTATGCATACACATATATTCTAGAGAAAAAAAATTACTCCTCTCTTGCATTCACTCTCAGGGAGATGGCAAAGGACCACCACCACCACCACCTATGCCAGGGATCCCTGCCCCACCACCTATACCAGGAGCCCCTCCCCCACCACCCATGCCAAGGATGGGACCTAAGAAGGACATGTCAAATGCCAGGAAGCACATGTTAGAGCAGATCAAGAAGGCTGCCAGGACGCGACCAGATTGGAACACTCTTCTCAGGAACATTGAGGTGAGATGCTGTTACTTGCATCTTGTGGAGGAGTTTCCTGTACATGCTAAGTGTTGTTACACATGTCTCAGACTGTCAGTGAATTGGCCTTTAAGGAATTACTTAAATTTTATAACTTTTCATTATTCAGACTTTGATCACATTAGTACACAGATATTATTTACAGTCTATGTTGAGTGGCTGTTTTACAATTAGTACAGAAATCCAATACAAGTGTGATGTAGGTGAGCTTTATAATTTACAATGTCTAACATATTACATATTCTAAATGAAAGGTTCTAAATAAGAAATGTAATTCCTGAACTTTCAAAGGTACAGCTTAATTAAGGGGAACACAAGATAAGAGTACAAAGAATGTGCTGAACCTCATCAAAAGTGAACACACCCCCCAGGTTTCACAATGACCATGCTAGGCACCTACGAACAAAGCCATGATTTTCATCCTTATTTACTAATATGACTGCAAATGTCCCTGGTTCATGTGAAGATACGATGACAATAAAGTTGTTTGTTCCTTTAAGAGGCTAAAGAATTATAATAAATTTTCTGTAAAGAATAGCACACAAAATTTCTTCAAATTTCATCTTTTTCATGTCAACTTCCACATTTGTCTTGCACCACTATACTTTATCATTCCCTTCTCTCTCTTTTACACCCACACAATAGTGAGAAAAATAGATATGATAGAAAGAAAGATATAGATTGATATAATTCTCTGTATATTCTACCAGTACTCACCTGCCTCCTCCTTCACAGGGTGGCATCAAGCTCAAGCACTTATCACCCTTCGAGAAGATGGACAGATCCAATCCCATGTTGCCCTCTTCTAGGGGCAAAGGTGGCAAGGTTAGTGTTTCATGTGTTACTTAGACAAGGGTGGCAAGGTTAGTGTTTCTTTTGTTACTAGGACAAAGGTAGCAAGGTTCGTGTTACGAAGAGTAGAGGAGGAAGGTAAGAAAGTTAGGGGTGGCTTAACAAATGTCACACTGACCAGATGAAAACTGAATGAATGTACAGGTATGTTATGTTAATTTTTACCATGATCATCTGATTGCCATTGTCATCATTGAGTCACAAATGAGACTGAAAACATCCCAATCTTGGTCTGTGATACACATACAGTATAGGCTTAGTGTGTGACAAGTTTCAAGAAAATTTTAAGAAGATTTGAAGATCACCAATGTGTCATAGTAGGCATTGAGCACTTCAGATTAACTTTTGTTGACAAGTAATTAATTGAAAACTTTAATGGCTGTTATATTATGTAATTTCTGCCACTTAGTCTATGCTTTTCTTCATATCAAACCTCTAATGTGTGTTGTTGTACTAATTGAGCCTGAAACTCCATTTTGTTGTATACCTGTACATACCAGGTCCCCGTACGAAATGAAACTCTTCCCTCAGTTTGTGTATGAGTCGGAGAAGCCACTTGCACACAATGAGCTGCTGCGGGAGATTCATCGAGGCGTCAGACTCCGCAAGGCAAGAACCAACGACAGGAGCAGACCAGACTTCAAGGCTCTAGGTGAGTCAGTGAGAAAGAAGCAGTGTGAGTGTATGTGAGTGTGTATGACTGTATGTGTATGTGAGGGTGTTAGGTGAGTGTGGGTGTATATGTGTGAGAGATTATGTCAATCTTTCTAAGCAGTTATACAAATAATTTTAGGCCCCTATTTTCGTTTTCCAGTAACACAGGCATACATTAGGCAAAGATTATATTGTAGCCTCATGAAAGCAGTTTGCAAATGATGATCATCAAGATATGTTTGCTATCATTTATCAACAAACAGTATATATTGTGGAATTATGGGTTGAGAACTCACTTTTCTTGGTTATATGATAATCAGCGAATGTTTTAATTTCACCCCGTGTCAGGTATACGTAAGTTGCGCCGTCAAATCACGACAGAGGAGCATAAGAAGCAACAAGACCCCATTGAAAACATGCCATCTTCGTCTGATGAGGAGGAAGACATTGACAAAATGAGAGACGACCTTCAGGCCACTAAAGGACAGTTAGAAGATGAAATCAAGAAGCGGAAAAAGACAGAGAGAGAAACCAAGATATTAAAAATTGACATCGAGGGGCTTCAGGCAGAGGTGAAGAAGCTAAAAAGGCAACTCAAGGAAGCAGGAATAACTGATCCTAAACCAATGATGAACGGCGAAGCGGATGAAATTGTTCCCAAGTTAGAAAAATCAATGAGTAAATTACGTATGCGTGAAGATGACGTGTTAGACTTCACTGAACTTGACACACTGGAGACTGAAATCAATAACTTCAAGACACAAGTAGACTTCCAGAAGAAACAGGCCGATGACTATCTCAATAAATATGATGAAGTTATGCAGAAGCTGATAGTGTCAGAAAATTGTGCCGCAGAATGGGAGTTGCGTGGCAATTATTACGAGAAAAAGTATAAAGCACTGCAGAAAGAACAGGGCATCGAGTTGCCAGATATTGAGACAATGGGAACTCAAACAGACCCCATAGACTTCGTGGAGCCTCCGCCACCATCCCCGGCAGAAGATGAAGAAATGAGACCTTTCCCGATGCCTTCAAAGTCTGGGTCAAGGAGAAGTTTTGCCTCATCAGTCAATAGAATGCAAAGTTTCAAAGAAGAGGAAGAGGAGGAAGACGAGGAAGAAGAATCAGAGGAAGAGGAAGAAGATGAAGATGAATTGGATGATGAAGAGGTAGAAGGTGAGGATGAGGAAGCAGCAGCAGAAAGGAGAGCTGAAAATGCAGCAAAAAAACAAGAAAGAGAGCTGAAGCTGTGGATAAACAAACTTGATCATATAAAAGAAAAAGAAAAGAATGTACAAAACGAAAGACAAAATCAGAGAGAAAGAATAAAACAATATTTCCGAGACATGAAAGTTGAAAGACAAAATTATCTAAAAACAAAAGCAGAAGTTGATGAAATGGTTACAACACTCAAAGATGATGGAAGTGAAGATGAAAATGAAGATAGTGAAGAAGAGGAAGAAGAGGAGGAGGAGGAAGAAGAGGAACTGACAAAAGAAAACGATGAGGATGGTGGATGGTGGTTTGATGAACCAAATCAGAAACCTAAGAAACTGAAGAGGAGAAAGAAGAAGAAGGTCAATGCTGATGGTGAAGAAGAGGAAGATGAAGAAGATCTTGCTGACTTGTCTACTCTAGATGAACCCGTATGGAGTGATTCGGAACAGGAGGAAAGTGAATCGGATGACGAAGAAGGAGAATACGAGGACAGATTAAACAAACTTCAAGAACGAACAAAGGAACACGAACTTCACATGAATGCCATAAAAAAGAACAATTATATATTAAAGACGCAGGCAGAACAGTGTGATGAAATGTTAGCTAAGGAGAAGAGAAGACACAAGAGACTGGATGAACAACTACACATAATAATGTCTGAGATCTCTTAGCTATCCTCACCTGTGTGAATGATGTGTATTAGTGTTAGAAAGAAATGGTAAATAAGATTTCATTACTTTAGATTTATATTTAGGGGTACTGGGGGACATATGCTTAATTAGTCTCTAAAAGAATATTATGTACAAGCTTCTGCGAGAGTATGGCTGGTGAGAAGGATTTGTTTACCAGTATGTCAAGAGTATGCTCAGTAATACTTCATAGGGTGAATGATTATCATTCTGTTGAAATGTGTACATGGCATTTTTTTTCTCAACCTGAAGACTGGTAGCCATTTATTTACACGAGTCTTTGTAATGACCAATCAGATACTTAAGCTCTGCTTAATTCTGCTCTAGTCAATCCATGTGGAAACATTGCCAAGTGTAGACTAGTGCATTTTTTCTCAGCTTAAAAAAGATGCCCCACCCCCTTCTCAAGAATTACAGCTGACTGGCAGTTTCAAACCTGTGATGTATTTCTAAATGAGTTTATTCATAATCGTTGGGATGACCGTTTCTGATGAGAAAGATATTCAGCTAAATTATATAAAGATCATACATTCATTATTTCAAACATAAGTACTTGTACGTAGGAAGTTTATCAGAAGTATATATATGAATTAACTGTTAAACTCTCATAGCAAATTCACATTTTCGGAGGATGCATTATATATATACTAAGACAAATTACATATGAGTAATTCTCCATTATACAAAAACTCTCATTTTAAAAGATTAGAATTACAGTGGTCCCTCGGTTAACGAGCACAATCCATTCCAGCAGGTTGCTCGTTAACCGAAACCATTGTTTCAATGGGTTTTTGGGTAATTGGTTCCAGCTCACCGAAAATTGCCTAAATTCAACAAAAAAGGTAGAAAAGTACACTTACTTTGAGGTGTGTATGTAGAAGGCTCCTGGATGATGATGATGGGAATTATAATGGGAGTGGAGGAGAAGGGAGAAGAGAAGGCATTGGGGTGGAAGAGAAGTCACCCCATGGTGCTATTTCACCCATAAAATTTTAGTTCTCTTGGTGTAATTCAAGATTATTCTCTTTAAATCAACACTTCACTGCATAATATATTAACAATATGTAAAATAAATTTCAAAATGACCAATAATTTGCTTGGAAACACAGAAAAAAAGCTTTTAGTTGAAGAGAGTCTCAAGCAATATGTTACCTCCACTGAAAAGAGAGAGAGACTAACGCCTGTTTGTGTGTTAACAGGTTGGATGGCGCGCCAGAAACTAGTTTCTTTACCTTCAATTATGTTCAATAATTGTTAAAATGACTAAAAAAATTTAATATTAAACTTTTAAAATTATTGAATAGTATAAACTTCTTGATATTTACAGTCTGTTCTGCTATAACGCGATAGTTGTGTTCTTGTAAAACATCGTGTTATAGAAATTCGCGTAATAGAAATAACAAGGCTTATGGAGAAAATAGGGTTAGGTGCAGATTACTACTCGAAATTGAAAAAAAAATTAGTAGTTAGCCTAACACAAAGGTTAGCCAGTCTAAATAATTGTTACATTCATATTATGAAATCATACAGTAAATGTAACACTTTATCTTGAAAAAATATGAATAACTTGATGGGGGAGAAGGGTGATTTTGAGGTAGATCACATCGAGCTTCTCTTCAAGGGTTATAGCCTTTCTTTTACGATCATCACCGGGAATGCGATCACCAGAACGCTTCTTGGAGATATTCTTCTTTACCATATTCACAGTTAATACCACAAAATTGGAGGAATATTAAGTAAAAATTGCGTTACAGCAAACAAGCGTTCGCGTTATACAAATATCGTTCCTCTACTCATAATATCGCGTTAGAGCCAATTCGCGTTGTCAAAACACGCGTTATAGCAGAACTCGCTGTACTAAAATAGTAAGGAATTTAAGCCCTAAAACCAATTACTGTATTGGCGGACTAATACTACAGCTGGTGGACCGCCAAATGCAAGCGAAAACATGTTGAGGTCGGCTTGTAAAAAACTCGTTAATCGAGGGATTGCTCGTTAACCGAAGTTAAGAATCTTATGGAATGTAAATCGTTAACCGAAATCTCCTTAACTTAGGCGCTCGTTAACCGAGGGATCACTGTACATTGAAATATTTACAAGGCCGTCAGCAGAGGCGGGAAATATGACCGCCAATCCGCTGCAATTCTTGAGAAGGGGGCAGGGTATCTTTTCTCAGCTGAGAAAAAATGCACTTGAGTGTTAGAGGATAATGCCTGGCCTGCTGGCTCCAGGACACGCCGCTTCGTATCCTCAATACTTCTTGATAATATGATTATTAGATATTATTTCATATAGGATACTTACTGTTCCCTATTATCTACATTATTCTGCTCAATTCTTGTATCTTGTGAGTGCTTTGGTGGAAAAATATGATGAAAATTGAGTAATTGAAGTATGCAAGATTGTGACTCTTAACATTCTCATTGTAAATTATGTTGCTGCAATGCCATTGCCTGATGGGGAGAGCCTTGCCAGCGCTTCTGGGATGCTTGTGACAAGCCGTGATTTAAATAAGGTTTAATATGCATGAAATGTTAAAACTAAATTAGATTATAAATCTAATAAATATTATGAGAACAAGTAACCATTGGGGTTTCTCTTACACAACCTACAAACAGGTTAAATCACTTTTATCTTCAAAAACCACTTCCATGAGCTTAGGATTTAAAAAAAAAATTAGTTAAGGAAAACTTGCATAATCATGGCATTATATACAGTATATGAAAGTTTCTAGAACACTCCATGATGGAATTACTATAGTTGGCAATATTACAGTGGTAGATTATGTTCACACACTGAAGATAACCAACTGTCAACAAAACTGGATATTCAATCAACACCATAAATCAACCCACAGGTAAAGGTGAACCTTATACTTGAAGATTTCTCATATACAGTTGTACCCCACTTAACGCGGTCAATAAAACCCAGAGGGTACCGTGTTAAGTGAAAACAAAGTTAAGTGAACAACAGAACATATGGGATTAATTCCAATAGAAACCGGCCCGACCCCCAAACTCCACTTTTTGACGACACATAACTATGTTGTAGTAAAAATAACATCTTAATTTTATGATGGTACATGCACACAATTAATACTTAAGAGAAATAGAGAAATACAGTCACCAAGTTAATGTCCATTCAAATAATGGACTCAACTCCCTCCCCCTCTTCTCACACTACACTGGTGGCTCTTCCCTCTCTGAGAAATTTTTGGGGGAAAACCACTAAATTTTAATAAATAATACCTCAAACTAAAGTTAGGATAATATAATTGATATTGCTGGATTCCTTGTAAGACCAGGAATATTTTGAATACAAATGTCAAATATTTTGCACAAAAAATAATATATTTACTCAGAGTGAACATTATATCTAAAATTTGTATGTCTAATGCAAAATCTATGATGTTTATATTCAAAATGATCATCATATTGTAAGAATTCCAGCAATGTAAATTATATTCTGGCCGGGTAATTTGTATGAATTTTATGAGCTAAAACAGGCAGTCAGGCAGGGTGGCGGATGCGGCAAATCTAAAAATAGCTCTCGAGCCGGACACTCACAGCGTATACGTGGAAAAAACCCGCGTTAAGTGAAAGTTCAGCTCTGGCGAGGCACCGCGTATACGGTAAAACGCGCTAAGTGAAACCGCGTTAGGCGGGGTAATACTGTACAATGGCTGTCTGATTTATTATAAGTGTCATATTTATGAAGTACTTTGTCACCTGGTGAGACTCGGGAATAAGCCAAGACACAGTAGTAGCCCGAGATACTCTACTGAGAAGTGCCTGACTATGCCTAAACAGTGTGTAATATCCTACAATGGGAATTTTATTGTTAAAAACAACAGTATTTTGATGAATGACCACAACCTAACCTACCTACTGCATCGGGAAGAACTGGTCATAACGTTGGTTGAATAGACTGCCAAGTCTTACCTTATGCCCACGATGAGTTGTAGGTCCAGCATAAGTGAGATTAAGACCATAGAAGGGAAGGTGTAGGCCAAGATCAATGAGTGCAAGACACAGGTATTCTTAGCATAATTCTCACGAAGACAGAATCCACAGCAAATGTATGCTTCTTATTTCTCTGGTCCACAATATACTTTCCATTTATCAATAATTTCTTCTATATGTAAATTCCACTGCTGTAACAGCAATTGTAAAGTGCTAAATAAATAAAACATAAGTTTACCTTTTTTTTGGTACATTTATTTCAGATCAAGTATAATCTCAGCTCCCATGGTATGACCTGACTACATAAAGTACAATTTGATTCAATACATCAATTCCGAGCACTAAATGCAAATGCATCAAATATTATAAATAGCTGCCTTTTTAACCTAATGGCCCAAAGACCTGTTCTATAATAAACCAGGGAGATGAGAGTGAGAGAGAAGTCACTTAACCTGCTAGTGTGTGAGACATACAGACTCTTAAGCTACAGTGGTTAGAGAACACTAAAGACGCATGCCACAGTATGAAATGAGACTTTAAACAGATTGGACTTTTGTCAGCCATTTAGTTTCAAAAATGTAATTCTAAGGTTGGTGCTCCATGTTATGCAGAGCATATAAGCCTAAAAATTTTGTCTCAAAGTTTTTTAATGATAAAATCTTAAAATGCCAATAACTCCATACATACATGGGATGCGCCTTGACACTCGAAATACCTGGTAGCAGTTGCTACTCTTCGGCTTTTGCACACCTGACTTCCACAAAGAAGAAGCACTTACTTTCATTCACGATAAATGTCAATACTTACTAGTTCTAATTGTGACTCCATTTTACAGCCTAGCAAGTAAGTCCTACTATGATGATTTCTCCTTGGCGATGAGCAAATTAAGCAAACTGGAATATGTTAAGACATGGTCAATGGACTAAAACTGATGACAATTGTTAAAAATGAAACCAAAATCTTCCTTTGATAAAAAATCTGATCCCCTCAAAGGAAATAAAGCAATTAATAAACCCAAGCAAATTACTTTTGGGGTTTATAATGGCACTATAAAACAATTAGATGATAAAATGAACTGCTGTGGGAGATCCTGCGCCATGACGAGAAACTGGAACTACAGAAAAGTCACGTAGTATAAAATGATACAACTCTATGATACGACACAAAACCCTGCACCACTCATATGTACATGCTCAATATATATCTAAGGTATATGCTGTGAGTGGTAGGGTAAGTTAGCTCTTATGTACTGCTCCTATATAATTAAACAACAAACTATAGCATATATACCATAGAACAGAGTCTGGGGGACAAATAAGGAATGATGCAAGAATAATTAGCTCCTGATACATTATAAGTATCACAAAAAGGAATGGCGAATTGAAAACAATTAAGAAATGGCATTAGAGGTATGCAATTTTATGTATAGTTAGACGTCAAGTTGTCTTGTATCTGTGGCAGTCACTCAGAATGGTTTCTCCAATCTACAGTGCTCAGTCTCCTGTGACCTATCATTTCCAGCCTTGTGATCAACAACAACAAGGCTCCATTATTTGACTGTGTCAATGCCAAACTTTCTTACACCCAGTGCCAAGACTCAACTTACACGTAAAGTATGAGCAGAAGATTGTGTTAGGGAAACCTGTCTATATTTCCACAACAGCTTACTGAAGGCAAGCAGCGACACTTATATGTACGTACGGCAACACTTACATGTACGTACAGACATACGGAAAAAAGTACTATAATTGGATATCTGTGACCTCCACTGATAAAGGCTATTACCGTAAGAGGTAACAACCAATTTGAATTTTTTCAAACTTTTTCAAATTCCACGTAATATAGCCTTATACAATTACATTAGTGCACTAGATATTTACCTTCATAAATATGGAGTTGATGAGAGGTATAAAGTACAAGTTCATTCATGTTAAACTAAAAAATTCTTGCTGTACACATAAAACCAACTCTTTGTGACATCTGCAATTCAATAGAGCTTAATTTTTGTAGTGATGATCAATTATAAGACAAATAACCATATTTAAAATTAAATAATGGATCAAAAATATATTTATATATATATATATGTATATGTAAAAAAATCTTACAGATCTATAGATCTACCTTGGGCTTGATAAAACAAAAAGAATGTCTAAACGGCACCTTGACGACAGGGAAATGACAAAAATAAAATTTTGTCCTATCAATTAACGAGAAAAAAAGGTCAGCTGACTGCATAAAAATAATGTGTTGGAGACCACTCAAATCTTGGTGCTAAGTTTAAGAGCCTTCATCTCTCTTACCAAGCAACCAACCCGTTATAAGTAACTACATCAGGAACTCTGGGCTTCAGATGATGCACTGTGTCTGCTTCATTGTCATCTATACAACTCTGGTGCACTAAAGTCATTGGTGAATGTCTTTCTAATATGATTGACAATCCTAATTTACAGAAGCAAAGTTAATCAGCATCAATGGAGAATGTGTGTAAACTTGCACCTCAATATCACACCAGGGTATACACATGATACAATGCAAGTCATACTGAAAGGAACACATCCTATGCCCAGAATCACTAACTACGTTACAATATTTTATGATAATTTACAATTGCAGTGGCCAGTAAATTTTCAGAAGGTTAGTCTATGATAAAAGCATGATAAAACCTATGTAGTTTCCTATCATAACAAATTATTGTTTAATCTATGTATGTTGGACATGATACATTACCTACACTGAAGTATAACACCAATACTTCTCTTATCCATGACACAGCCAACTAGCATCTTTAAATTTTAACGTGTTGTTGTGCTGATCTTATGTCTAGTACCTACGTAAATCATAACACAAGCAAACAAAAATTAACGAGTTTTTGCTTTCCTGAAAGAACGAGATTCAAGTTTACTGATCATGGATAAGTGCAATATTGATGACTAAAAACCAATGACTTAAGGCTTGAGTTTCACATGACTTTCACAATTGTGCATCTCAGAATCAAGATTTGCCTACCCCTTGGAATGTAACAGTAAGATAAATCATAAAAGAACATTGCATTGTACAGTATATCATTTAAAAGTAGTAAAAATCTGGAGCTGAAGCATTTGAACTTCATATACAGATCTGAAATTCACATTAACCTACAATTATGATCTCCCTTTATTTGTTATAAATAAGTGGAAAAGGTCTTGCAAGATTTCGATAGTCTTGATAAAACCTATAATTACACATTGGAAACAATTTTCTTACACATTTTATTATTTGAATTGACAACTGGTGATTCTGAAATGACAATGCATACCATCAGCACCTGTGAGCCTCACTTGTTTGCTATCATTAACCCAATTTCTTCATTTACCATCTCTGAGAAAAGGACCCTTGAAGCAACCTAGTTTAGGGGTCACTTACAAGCTCTTTCTATAATTAATGCTTTCGGTCAACAGGTGTCTGACGTAGGGAAAACGGACGAATGGTTCCCCGCTTATTGATGTGGGATGTATTAAGTCCCCACGTTTGCTTGTTTATTTCTCTTCAAAGTATTTATAGGTGGGGTTTTCATACCCATTGACCTGCATGTTGGCTACGTGCCTTTCTTCTGGGGTGATAGCCTGGTCCACTTCCATGAACCCCTGAAAGATATATCAACAGTTAGATGATGATGACAATAATAATAATACAGTAATATCCCCGTTAGCCGGAACAATTGGTGCAGAGCACTTCCAGGAATGAGAGATTTCCGGTTACGAGACGACTCTCTCAAATCCGGAAAAATTCCCTCATGCCCGGAATTTTCTGGGTAATGGAAATATGTTCTCGGAAGTTCCAGAAATTGCCAATTACATCATCTCTTGAACCCGGAAAAATATCCCTCATTCCCGGAATTTTCCAAGCAATGGAAAAATTTTCACGGAATTTCAATTAAAATGCACCTAATTTACATCTTTCAAACCTAGATAAAAACTCCCCCATCCCCGGAATTTTCCTGAAAATGTGCTCCTCGGAAAATCGGGTCCAAAGCCGTAATTTTCCGGTAAATTCCGGCTTTGGGAACAATTTTCCGAGAAAATTCAACTCCGGCTATCGGAGAGTTCCAGGCTTGAGGGATTCCAGCTAACGGAGATAGTACTGTAATAATAAAAACAGGATGTGAAGAGGATCTGTGACATGCTGGAGAGAGAAATAAGAAATGATTAACTCAAGGATGTATTTCAGCAGATAAAAGGATGATAACATGAGGCTGCAAAATATATAGTATTAGTTGAAAGAATGATGAAGACAAAATAATATAGCTGGTGAAGGTATAAAAAGCACACATGGATACCTTGTCCTTTTGATTAGGTGACTGCAGGTGAGGGGGCAATGGAATGGTACTCATGAATTGTCTAGTAAGTTGTCCAATTAAGGCAAGGTTAATTTGAAGAGACAAACTGAAATTTTATGCCCTATTTTCAAGGGGATGATCTCCTCCCAGCTCAAACTCAAACAGCTCACAGAGACAGCTACAGTAATAGACAGTGATTTAAAATATCAGAGAGAACCTTACTAATAGCCTACTTGGATTGGCTGCCATCCCAGGGGAAGGTACACACACACCAGTCAATAAAGGCACAATAGCCCATCCCACCTAAAACCCAGGTGAAGATGTTTTTATTCCAGTAACTATCACTTCTTGTCTTATTTTTTCTGTAGGAATCAGTTTTCCTTCACCGAGTTCATATTCTAAGTTAGCGTGAAGAGGTTGGACAGTTTAGCATAACAGCTGCATCAGAAAAACAAATGGAGTAAAAAATATCAACTACAGTATGCCATTATATCTAAAAGTTAACGCATATTGCGGCCTATAAGTCTATAAACACACTATGCAGATCCCGTGTACTGATACAGTGTCATAATGTTGTCAGTACTCTCTTAAGCTTCAGACACAGTACTAACATCTGACCTAGTTTTTAATCTGATCCTTGCAAGGAGCACATCAACAGTTATACAGCTTCCACAGTACAGGGCATACACAAGAACTAGACTGTGAAACCAGCTATAGAATACAGCATTGTTTGTTTTAGATAATGGAACTTACTTGATTGTGAGGATTGGTGCTATTCCTGCGTCGGAGTACAACAATGCCCACTACCATGGCCATCATTAATGCAACACCTGCAAACGCCAAGGTGAAGTAGACACCACGGCTCTCACTGCCTGATGACTCGCGAGTCACACTGTAGCTCTAGAGAGGAAAAATGTGTACAAACAAGTCATTACATCTGAGGTACTACAAACAATACATTGTAATGTTTCATATAATACCTAATTTACTTACTCATTGTCAGAAAAGGCTCAAAAGTTAAAGATACAAGTGAAGAAAACTTCAAATTATGAAAAATAAATACAAAATCTAGAGTAATTGCATCACAATTAATTTCTCCTCTTCCCTATGTTACCTAAACACTTTACTTTATGATCTCCACCAAAACATATCCAAACAAACTGTTTTATTATTTCATTTAACCAGGCAGAACCACTAATAACTTTGAGAAAATAATGTGCAACCTGATTCTTTAGCAAAAATCCAAATATCATTGACTTACAGCTTGAGAGTGAGAAATTTGGTGGTGCTGAGCATGTGCAACCTGCACATCTTCAGGATGGTGAACCAGCACTGCTTCTGGCCGAGAGGATGCATTAGGAACTGGAGATGCTACCCTCATGCTTGCATCCACTGTTGGGGTCTCCAACTCAACAGGTTCCTGGCTGACAGATTCACTTTCCATTTCCTGATTCTGGCTTGGCTGTGTCATACTGCTCAACTCTGCCTGCTCTGGGTAGGTCTCTCCAGAGTCAGAGTAGTCCTGCAAATTAATTGTGGTTCCTTTTACTGTACTTTCACATAGTACTAACTTTTTTTGCAGGGATCAGAGTTATGGTAAAATAGATAGTCCACAAAAGACGTCTAAAAATCACAGTATCCTTGCAACATGTGAATATACATACCTCATCATCATCATCTGCATCTGCAGCATCATGAGAGTCATCATTATCATCATCATCAATACTGTCCTTATCTTCCTCCTCATCATCATCGCCATCATCATCAGCCTCATCAACATTGTCATCTGACAGGTGTTCCTCTTCACTCTTTACGTCTGAAGAACCACAACAATATCCAAGTTAGAGTAATGTAACAATTTCTTACTTTAGTATTTTATGGTCATTTTCTTGATGTTAAAGAATGAGTGAGAGAATAATAAGTTCCATTCTAAATTGCCTTATACACTATAATACTGTAATGAAAAAAGTAAATAAACAAATAAAATTTCTAAAGGGGCAGTCAGTCAGATTTTTTTTTTTTTTTATTTCCGTGGAAAAAAAATAAAAATTATGCATAAAATGTCAGTTCTGACAGATATACAATCTAATGGTTGGGAACTGTGGCCAAGAGAGATTCTACTGTTCATAATATTATAAAAATTGGATTTTATTATTGTTGATATCTATTTATTAAACTTGCATCTAAGGAAGTAGTGTGTGAAATATTCATTCATAAAGAGTATATTCTGACAATCCTCCAAAAGAAGATGCAATATATTTGTTGTTGCAGTTTCCTATTTTTATAAAGTTTGCTCTTTAAAATCTCCAAATCTTATTCAAACACACCCTTATAAAAACATACACTAACAATGTCATACAGTAATTCTGACACACTGGTATCCAACCCTAATTATGATATGATCACGACCTTGCCTGGAATGGTTCCATGGCATACAGTACTGTGTCAAGATGATGTTGACACCCCACATAACTGTGTAACCATTTCTTAAGTTACCTAAAGTTTTCTCCTTCTTCCATGTTTCCTTTTATACTTAATTGTTCATTTTCAGACATTTTCTGACCAGGATCATTCCTCCATTTACTGATCAATCTTTGAGTATATAACATCAGCTTCAAACTTATAACAACACTAACTTGCTCAGTATAAGTTCAAGATGTATTACAAAAAGTGTATGCATCTATGTACTTACGGATATACTGTATGTGTATGTAAATGTGTTTAGGAAAACTCCTAGTGCTGCTTTAGACTAAGACTGGTTATAAATTGATCAACTTTAATCAATATACTGTAGAAAAATTCATGTCCCTATTGTGAAACCAATGCCCTATTTCTGACTGCTTTTATCATGACAAATGATCAGTTGTTCATGACAGTGGAATAATAAGTGATAAGGTTCACAAAGAAAACACCTCAGTCCACAAATTCATGTGTTGAATAGTTATAAAACCCTCATACAGTATGGGAAGTTTCTAGGTTATTTTTGTATTATTGAACTTGAATTGAATTGTTGGTGAATGTATTTTTCTAGTTGGGAATGGAATAACACTGATATGACTCATCAAGCCTTTTAGGTTATACGTCCACTATCAAAAGTACACTTCAACTTCAGGGGACCAAACTGACTAAGAAGGAATAGTTACTAAAAACTATTAGCAATTTTATATAAAATCTTGAACAAAATCTCCAGACACTAACCACTTGTTAGAGGCTTTGGAGAACGAGTGGACAGCTCAAGGGGAGTTGAGTATTTGCTTCGAAGAGCTGCTGAGTATTCACGCATCAAATGTCCAATTTTAACATTCAGGTCTGGGTGTCTGAAAATATGTTATGCATGTAATCATCTGACAATCTAAGGTAAAATTTTTCATTATGATTTGACGTTACAAAAGAAAATAGCATAGATTCAGGAAATATAAGAAATATCAAGAACAGAGAATGCCACAACTTGTAATAACAATAGCTGCTTGTCCTTCCATAACCAAAATCTAAATACTATACAGTATATTTACCCCTTCACTACTGAACATCACTTTTAATATTCTATTTGGCTAATACCATACAATTTTATTCAGCGCAGAGATTCCTAGAACCCAAGGCGTTAAAAAAATTGATGTTAAAATAAGAGGGGAAATTAGTGAACGTGAAATTTATTTTCCAACAAAATTTCCCTGTGAATCAAATTTTGGGGGCTGCCACAGTAAGATAAAAGCTTTAACCTCAAATAAGCATAATAACTTGACATGCTGTACTCTGAACACCTGGCACACTGGCTGCTTAACCTAAAGTACTGTATAAGTCAAGTGGGTTTGGTATTACACATCAGACAGGATTATACAGCATCGGTACATCACTGCATTTTTTATCCAATATCATCTAACCTCGTGGGAGTTTTTTCTACAATATGTTGGTGGGTATAGAGTGATTACTGCTGGTTATTACTACAAATAACTAACTAACAAACAATGTCTCATTAATGGTAATCTAACCCTACTGTAGGTCCATTGCATTGTCAACCCATAGCTTAAACCACAATAACCAGCTTCAATTTCAATCTTTGGATTCATATTTCAAAATTCTGGCCTTCAATGTTAGACTTCACTTTGAATATCAAGTTTATTATTCTAGTGTCTTCCTTTTTGTTACACCAAAACCTGGCTTTTAAGTTTGCCATGCAAGCCATACCTACAGTACACAGCCTCACACACACTATTTTATTCAAACTATCTAATCTAATATTCCAAGTTCAACTTTTGTGCAAACTAATTATTTTTAAATAGCTCTAAATAAATTGACAATGAATGATTGATTGTGAGAAAGTAATGGGAATGAATTTTAATCACTTAATCATTCTTTTCCAGTAAGAAAGATAGCAGTTCATTAGTTTGATCCACTGAAGATCTGTCCCAGTTGTTCAAAATTAAATTGATCATTTAATTAAAATTTTATAACTTACATATTCTCAAATGCTCTAATATTCACTTTAATTCTGATAAAATGTTCCTAATTTCTAAAGACAAATTTCCCCCCTGCACATACCTTAAACTACATTTAAAATCTCCACGACTATAACGTTGATTTCTTTACCTCTGCATAACAGTTTCTTTACTCACCTGGCCAGCATGTTGAGAGACTGATTGACCATGCGCTCCAAGTCATTTAGGTGCTGCAGTGTAGAATCACGCTCGCGGTCTGCAGCCTCGTAGTCTGAGTTGAGCAAGTGTTTGTAGTGAGAGACAGTGTGATGGCGGTCCTTGTTAAGGGCGCGGAGCAACTTCTGTAGACACTTTTGTACCCGATGAGTCTAGAATAAGAAATAGCCAAGGACGAAATGAGAGAGTAGTTTTTTTTTTTTCATTATAAAATTACTGTACAGTATTCAGTAAATTACAAGTAAATTACTGTAAATATTCTGTAAGACATAAGTACTGTAAAGCATTTTTTTCACAAAATTACTGTACAGGGAGTCCCTGACTTTCAACGCCTGTCGGTACAAATGGGGTTAAACTTGAAATTTACAGTATTTTATTTACCTGATGACTTTACTTTCATTTACTGTACATGTATTTTGTCATCCTATTTCTTCTTTTGTCTTAAATTAAGTGATTTTAGATGTATGTAAGGACTTTGGCTATGATATACTGGTATTTAAACATTTTTTTTAAGTGTGATATGCATATAGCATGTGTTCCGACTTATATACAAATCCGACTTAAGGACGTCCTCAGGGACGAAACCCATTAGTAACCCAGGGACCCTTGTATTCCATAATTATAGTATAAGTGCTAATATTAGGAGTGCAGCTTGTGGATTTTTACAGTAATTTGGAAGGATGAGCTTTAATACATAATGCAAAAAAGGAGATTTCTGCTTATTTTTTTCTTTTTCTTGTCATCAAGTAGCATTTCTAATTCTTCATAATTCAGGTGGGACTTGTTAAAGTACATACTACAATAATTATGTCCTTACATTTGGCTGTTTTTCAGCAAGGGCACGAGTGTAGCAAGTCATGGCTTCCCGCTTCATCTCATTGATATGAGCTACAATCCTCTGCTGATGGAGTGCAGTAAGCTGGTGTCGCTCAGCTTCATTCTCGGCCTCTACTGCTTCAACAGTCTGCTGGAATCGCTGTGTCATGCGGTGTTTGAACTCCTCGGCACTATGGGGGTCTTTAACCCGGAGATCCTGATAGCGCTCCTCAAGGTCTGACCATTCCTTCATGATCTGTACAGGAGTAAGATACCAAGATAAGGTAAGTAAGATAGTGAACTTTTTTATAATACAGTATTGAAGGTGTGAAGGTGTGGAACAACTTACCCCCACACATCCGAGCAAAGACAACGCTCCCATCCTTTAAATCATCTCTAAAAAAATATCTATTGTCGAAGTATTAACATTTCTTGTAACACTTACTATATTTACGGTATCTGCTTTTATTGTACCATCAAATCCGTTTTATCGGAAATTATCATGTAAATAAATAAGTAATTACCATTGCAATAAATATAATTGCCAACTAGACATAATCCTGAAAGCTCTGTCCTCTTGTTCAACCTTATTACTGTACAACCCAGGTTGTACTGCTCCCCCATTACACTTATGTTTTTAAATTCCACTATAATTTATATATATATATATATATATATATATATATATATATATATATATATATATATATATATATATATATATATATATATATATATATATATATATATATATATATATATATATATATGTATATATGTATATGTATGTGTGTATGTATAAATAAATAAATAAATAAAAAATAAAATAATAAATAATAAAATAAATAAATACTGAAGTGATAACCGTGGTAACATTATGAGATGTACTTATTACTACCATGCTATTGTACTATTCCAGATGATACTAAATGTTACATAATACTTCCTTGAGATAAATGTATAGTATATAATTATCAGGTGCCTCAAAGAGAGCTCAGGTTCTCAACTGGCTCAGCCATGTTAATACTGTTATTATTATCCACTCTGTATCTGTATTTTTCTGGCTAAATAAAATGTTTCAATCGATCAATCTTAAATGTAACCCTAAGTTCTTATAAGAAAATTTTTTACAGCAAAACATTGATCAACATAATTTACAAACGTTCAGCTTCGTTTTCACAACAAACTGCAACATTCTAGCTAGAATACTTTCTGTGTTATCAATTTCTTAATGTTGCAAACTTTGATTGCATTTCCTGACAAAAACTGAGAATGGTGCTTGTGCTAATTTAGGAGTAATGATAAATAGGAATCTTACCACCAAGACAAAAATTTGTATTTTCTCAAAACAAGGCTAACAAAGTACTTGAGTTCATACAAAGGAATATTAGTTACAAGACTAGCGAGGTTATCCTAAAAAATCTTGCACTTATGAGACCTCACATGGATTATGCGGTTCAGTTCAGGTCACCGTACTACAATGGATATAGAATCCCTAGAAAGCATTCAAAGGAGGATGACAAGACTAATCCAAAGCATTAGGAACCTTGAGTACGGAGACACATTAAAGCTTCTTAATTTGCATTCCTTTGAGAGAGGTAGAGTGAGGGGTGATACGTTCAAGTTGTATAAATGGGAGTCAGGGTTAAACAAAGGTGATATAACAAAGGTAATCAAACTATCCAACCAGGAAAGAAACTTGTAACAATGGTTTTAAATTAGACAAATTTAGATTTAGGTGCAAGATAGATAAACACTGATTTGGAAATAGAGTACTGAATGACCAAACATCATCATTAACTCGAGCACATTGGGTAGCTTCAAATATAGGTTGGACGGATATATGAGTGATAATGGGGCTGCCTAGTATGGGCCAAAAGGCCCACTACAGTTTCCTTCATTTTTATGTTCTTATATAATATATATATACAAAAAAATTTAACCCGATGAAAGTGTAGAGTGAAAATTTTGAACTGGGTAACAACATCCAATTAGAAGAAAAAAAATCACCTGGATAACTGGAGTACAAAAAGCCAGGCATATAATACATCTTGTACAGTATTAAGTTTACATACTGGATGAATCTTCAAAACAAGCTCCTTCTTTTTTCTGTAGATTGTACTGTATGCAGTATTGAATTACAGTACTGTATGGTATAACTTTAGTACAGTACAGTATTCTATTTACCTGATTTTCATTCTCTATGTACTCAGTGGCTAGTCCTAACAACCCACAAGATTGATACTTTGGGAGACAAATGTCTTTCTCCTAAAGATGGTGCAGTACAATATCTACCAACTTCACAATTACACTCCAGCCCTGTCTGGTGGCCTTGCAAATGAACACGCCACCTCCACTCTAATTCATGAATCACCACCATTATATACACCAGTGTTTTCCTTATTTCCTCCATTATTTAATCATGCATAACTCTTTGTTATTTGGTGTGGGTAAGACACTAACCTTGGAAACTTTCTCGCGGTGGCGCTCCTCCAGCCTCTGTTCAGCTCGGCGGAAAGCATCGTGTTCCTCGTGAGGATCAAACCGACTGAAGTACTCATCTCGTGTACCAACCTCCTGTAACCAAAACAACTATTATTAAAATACAGTTTATTAAGATATTACAGCAGCCATGCACCTATACTGTACTGTAATCTTAGTACAATATCATAATTATTTTCCCTAATACAGTGACCCCTTTTTTAATTTCCCACTTTTTTTTACGTAGTTACTAAGTTAAAGTTAACCCCTTAACCAACACACACATAAATGTTTTGTTGTCCAAACAACTGGACTGGACTTATGAACTTGTTCCAAATAGAGGAGCACCTGTACCAATTAATCTGTAACATATATCGATGAGGCAAGTTCTAGGTCTAAAGGTACAATTATTTTCTGTTATACAGTAGTATCACTACTCCACTAACACTGCACAGCAAAACAGAATTCGTAATTGGAATTATGTATTTTGAAATATCCATTACAAATATACTAAAGTACTGTACAGTATTGCCAAACAGCAAATTCAAGTTCTTTGACACTCATTATCACTTAACTGTTCACCTCTCTCTCTCTCTCCAAATTTTAATTCTTCACATCTCTTATACAGTATCACCAAAGTACAGTACTGTACAATATATTTTACCCAGTGCCAGATCATATTGTTTAATCCAGTGTTTTCCAAACTGTGGGGCATGTAACGGTTGCTGGGGGCCACAGCCTTTTGGTACTGAAGGCTGTTCTGCAAGATGTCATCAGCATTGTTAACTAGCTATACAAAAATAATTCCATTTAATAAAAGGTACTTTGCAAAGTTGTGTGAAGATATGGGCAGGATACACCGCTCTGCCACATTATTGAGAGCTGTACTGGTTTTCAAATGCAACAGTACTGTACTTCAGGTGTTTGAACTAAGAAACTAAACTGGAATCTTCCTTAATGAAAATAATACTAACAGCAATGCACATATTTTGTTAAATACAATATTTCAATTAGAAATTTGCCTAAGGTATTTGGTGGGCCTTATGTAAAAAATGGAGCCATTTCATTAGATCAACAAATGGTCCTCAAACCAATAATCTGACCCACTAGTACAGCAAAGTTAATGGGTTTGTGAGAAAACTACAATTATGGAAAATAAATCTAGAAAATAATGTTTTAACATGTTTCCTACCATAGAAAAAAAAATCATAGAAAGGAAATGGAAGTCAATAATGAATTATTTACAGCAGTTTTTATTTTGTTATTTTATTTTAAAGATATAAGGGTCTCAAAACTTGAATGGATAAATAATCCATTTGCTGTAAAACAATGTCACACTGTCTATGGATTGACAACATCTGAACAAGAATAACTCATGTACAGTATGTCAGTAAGGATTTTTTAGAAACGGTACAGTACTGTAATGTATTTGATTCGGAAAATCTTTCTAAATATTTGCTGCACATCAAAAAGAATTACTGTACTGTATCCCATCTTATCAGAAAAGACGTGAACGTTCTTCTACATTTGTGACAACATACTTGTACAACACAAGATTTTCTGCTGCTGTTGTCATGAAGACAAAGAACCGCTCTTGTGTGATAATAGAAAACGAAATGCAAGTCATTATTTCATCAGTGACTCAGTGACACAAGCAGCTTTGTGCTGAAAAGCAAGCTCAGACATGGCAAATAAAAGTAGGAAATTAGTTTTACAATAAATTGTTTTATAAATAAAATAACTATATTCAACAATTCAAAGTTTTTGTTGATACTTATAAAATAAATTATAAATGGGTAAAGAATTAGTTTATTTTGCTGTTATCACTTACTAAAATAATTTTATTGTAGATGGGAAGATGGGGGCAATGGAATCTTTGATGAGTTAAGGGGTGCCACTATTTACATTTTGAAAAACAATGGTCTACTCCAGTCACTTTCAAAACTATCCTACACCAAAGTCTTTGTGCCATCCAATTAAGTCAATATTTAGACCACAACTAAACTGACTAATAATGCATATACGTACTATTATGTGCCTGGAACATGATTTACAACCACCAACAGTATTTTGATGATGATAAGCTTGCTGGAATGTGCATTTATCACCATTCTAATTTCTGTGACAACTGATTTGACTACCTTATGAACTCACAATTCAAAATTTCCTCTTAGTAACAAAATTCTTTTAAATTCCCCTAAACACAGTATACATTTGATGTAAGTTTATTATAAGTACAGCACAAAGTAGGTTTTAAAATTAAAGGACACATCATGGTTCAGTTGGTAATGCTTCAAGACTTCCATGGCTAGAAAGGCTTTGAAGGATGTTTTGTAAATGGTGTGCACAAAGCCAGTCAACACTGTCATGTCAAAGGATGAAACAATTAACCCTTTTTGCACATTTAATACTTACAAGTCAGTAAGGGACAGCATAGGGGCAGTGAGCTTTAATATTACCAGTACAGGTACTTAATATCACAAAGATAGTCTGAATAAAGCTAAGGTGGTTGGAATATCTGTAAAGCATACTACAACCCCTGTTCCTATTTCTGTACTGTACCTGAGAAGTTGTTGTGGTGGCCAGCTTTGGTGTGGGAGTGACTGAGATGGGCTGGTGAGCACGGCGGTCCATCTGAGGGAGAGCGACGGGTTCCTCTACTTCCATAGGCCGGGCCTTTCCATGACCCTTGTAGTTCTTTGGGCAGCACACAAATTCAACACCAGAGAAGACATCAATGCCACAAGGTAGGAGCATGGCAAAGGACTTGAGGGTCATTCTGCGAGTACCACATGCTCGGTCAGCAGTGCTATTCCAGCGATCAAACTCCCAACAGCGAGATTGGTTGTGGATGTGATCAAAGAGGCAACCTTCTGGTACCAGCAAAGCATCGGATTGGAAAGACCCTTCTGGAATAAAATGTCTTAAGGTCACTTAAAAAACATAGAAAATGAACCCTGAAGTCATAAAAAATAAAACACATCTGTACTTCTTTATGAAAGCCTTAAGTTGCTGCTAATGATTCTCTCTATAACTCATTTGTATTACACTGTACACTAAATCTTCAGTATGCTAGGAGGCAGCATGAATAAAACTGCACACAGCCTTCGAATGTTGTGATATTTGGCAACAGCTAGCCGTTGTTTACAAATCAAACATGTCGGTTTTCCAATCATTTCAACAAAAAGAGTACGTACAAGATTTTCCACTTTTTCTGTACCACACGACACTCATCATTAATTGTTCTTTTCTTTGATAACATGATTATGGGCTCAAAAGTAAAAACAATGGACACTGCATCCAACATTTGCAACGCTCCAACTGCCTTGAGCTACTAGGCAGGATTAGTACCCATGTGACTGCCCAAGCGAGAGCCCGCTACATCAGAGCTATCACGCCTAATACCAGTATGCAACACGCTTAGAACCACAATTTACCATTAAAACTATCTCTAATTGTACTTTCATTGGTGCTGCTGCACTGAGTATTTTAGTCTAGCAAACACCAGACGATTTTATTCAGCTGAAGGAAACCCCAACTAGTCAAAGGGCTAACAACCCATTTAGCAAGTCGTCACTCTAGCACCAGATACATACTGGACAGAGTTTCACAAAACATCCTACAAGCACTTGCCTTTGAACAGACTCAATAGAATAGATAAGGGGCAATAGACTAAACGAGTATTATCTGATAAAAATAGTCTTTACTTTTTACTTTAAGTGCTACTGTCTTAGGCTCTTAGCTGCCAGCGGGTGCAGCTGGAGCAGCCAGTGGGGAGTGGGCCGCATGTTTGACACCCCTGATCTAAACAGTACAGTACTGTAAATTTATTTATGCATATACAGTACTAATGTTCTCTATGTCCACATATACACAGTACTGTACTGTCTATTATGTAAAAATTTACACACGTTTGGTCAGGTTATATAAACCCATGTTGACATCTTCAATAAAGTTTTTTATAACTTTGTTGGAGAGCATGGCAACAATTTCTTACAATGACACATCTTTTATAATGAAATTTAAATTCCCTGGTCAAGTGAATTAAAAACTACCAAACAATGAGCTCTAAGGGTATAAACAATACTGTACATGCTATTGCCGGTAATTAATACAGAATGTCCGGGTCACGTACGTCTGACTTACGAACTTCTGCCGATACAAACAAGGTCCCATAAAGTTAAACTTTAAATATACAATACAGTATACTGTATGTCACACATCCAAACAAGTTTGCTTAATATATAACAATGATGTGCACTGCATAGAGTGACATCACAATGCAGGAGTCCAGTATCTCTCTTGTATCTACAGGTATTAACTATTTTTTCCTGTAAAAAAATCTAATTACATAGTCTATAAATAAATATTATGTAAATAATGTACTAACTGAACACATTAAGTATATATTGTCATGTAATCCTACTTTTCATGTACATACTGCTTATTGTGTACAGTACAGTATACTGCTCTTGAAGAGATATTCAACTCATTCGAGTCTTTGCACTGTGAGGTGCTCATGGAAACCATATGAATGTAGAAACCTTGGTAAGAATATTGATCTGATATGTGACTTATGCTGAGACACCCAAGACTTGGGCCAGAATACAGTTAAGATGACAAATGACTGCTTGTTTTCTACCTAAAACATTAAGACTTTGCTAACATTTTAATCAAACAATCAGACAAGGTTAAAAAATTACAAAAATAAAAAATTGTAGTTCAAATCTATAAGCTCCAGACACTCATAAGACTAGGGTTTCAACAAGAAGTCACCCATCTAATAATATTAGTTCACAGCCTAACAGTTTCCCCATTCTTTTCCCTCAAAAAATTAAAGGAACGCAAGTTTTTCATGAAGTCTTGGTCTGTTCCATGATGGCCAGACAGTAGTACAGTACTGTAGATGACAAGCATTCATGTAAAGTTTGATAAGGTTGTGGAATGTCCTAAATGCCATACCATCACCTGATGTTCTAGTTCCTAAAGATCTGGAATCACGATACCATATACATAATTACTGCAATGTATGTTAGGAAGTTCAGCTCCTCTAATATACAGTATGTATGTACAGTACAGTATGTATGTGTGTGTGTCTCATATTCCAAATCCATAGACGATGTTATCATCAACAGTGATGTTAATATTGTAAAATTAATAAAGTTAAATTACATCATGAACTTGAAGAAACATAGTTTGAGACCAAAACTAAATACAATTCTACAATATTAGAGGCTGTATCTGGCAGTTTAGATTGGCTGCCCTTTCATCCACCTTGGGAAGTAATTAAATTAAAGAGTAACTGCCACTCTTAACACAACAAACACAAGTTGAGTAACTCATAAGTCCACAGAATAACCCTGGAAGGCCAAACAATGTTGTAACTTAAAAAGCCAACTTGATTGTATTGAAAATGTTATAGGATTTATTTTATTAGACCTACTAAGTACAGTTCTAAAATACTGTACTTGTTTAGCAAGAAAGCTCTTTCAACCAATTGGAAACTCAATGATGCACAGGAACCCCAGTACAGTACGTATACAGTATTAAAATTGTAGAAACTGTTCCAATCATATCAGTCACGTCCACAGGAAACCAAGTGACTGACTTAGAAGGATGAGACAAGTAACTAACTCCATAGGCTAATCATTACTCGTAAAACATGATCCATTATTCAAATTACACCCAAGTTCCCATTCAATGTCAGGTAGACAAGGAGAAGAAGGCACTTGCCAACAAATCTACCCAAGCTAAGAATCAATAAAAGATGTGCGCTGGATCAATACAGTGATGAAACTCAGGAACTATGACTCACCCAGACAACGGTAAGGCTTGACCCAGGCTGCAGCTTTGCACTTAGCATGACCAACACGGCAGAAGTTGGGCACTTTGTAATAGTGCGATGACTCAACGATGTTGGTGATGTCACGATCTGGATAAACCTGCAACAAAAAAATACTAACATTAGAAAATTTTCAAAATAACATCTGGAAAGGTTTATACTATTTGATGAAGACTTGCTTATAAATACAGCATTGGCATCTGTAGCAGTATAACAACAACAATAATCTAACATTTTACTTAAGGGAGAGGAGGAGGAGAGCTGATGCTGATGATAATGGCAATGATAGTCATGTCCCGAGTGGTTCATTAAACTGCATGCGGCCATGTCAAGTAATTGAGACTCTACAGCATTGTGATGAGTTTTGAGTGGAATGAATTAACATGAATGTGTAGACGATCACACTTAGGTGAATAATTTAACATGCAACTACAGTACCTGCTATGTACAAGACAAAAATGACTAAAATTGGGGAAAGACAAAGCATATTTTATGGTAGTCACCTGACATGACAGACAGCCAACGGTAAACTAGTTGATTTTGACAGTAGCTGTTTAGGAGTGGTCATTATCCCAGCTCTACTTATATTAAATTCTATATAACATGAAAACTAATATCGGGGTACTAAATGACATAATAAGAAAGCTGTACTAATAAAACCGAGAATACACACGTTTCTGGTGTAGTAATTAACAGCAAGGCAAAAAAAAAACAGTGGCTTGAAGCCATAACCTACAACCAGTTTTAGACAATGATGGAGCGTCATGGTGCATTATGAGTAAAATAAGTGTCGGGACTTGGCCAGTCATAACGTGTGTGTGTGTGTGTGTGTGTGTGTGTGTGTGTCAAAATTATTGTCAAAGATGAACAGAACTTCCTGGAAAGTATAAAACCATCAATGTCCACCAACTGGCGAAGGAACTGAGGATTTTTCGAATTTAATTTTAACTTGATGTAGTGAATCTGAAAGACAGCTGCTTCAGAATGTTCAGTTTTTTCAGCGTATAGACTCTGGATGATCAAAGGCGACGGGAAAAAACGTCATAATTAATTTCACACCAAGACTCAACATCCACACACCAATTAAGGCTGTATCGTCTTCATGGTTTGATTGTATCACGCAAAAATTTTTGTGTTTAGCGTTAAAAGTCTTAAAATTAGTCTTCTATCGAATAAGAATGGCTGGGCAGCGATACTGTACAAGGAACAAATTGTGAATGGTATACCTGGATACAGTACACAATGAGCTCTCAGACTGCCTCTTGTTCAAATTTCAAGAAAAAACAAAATCTAGCCTAAACAGCTCTAATTTTTTATTGTTTTATGAGTGGATTATTACAAAGACTATTTAGGTTTGTGAAGATGGGAATTTAGGTTCCTGCTCTGAGGTCACATTCGGAGCGCTTGGGGTCGTATTCCCTTGCCTGAATTATGCGTAATGTATTAATAAATTATATTGTGTAAATAGTAGGTGTATAGTAGTCATTTTCAGTTTAACTGGTGAAAGAAATGAATGAAAAGTAAGTGTGTTATAATTATAATCTTCTTTCCATCATTTTATTAATTCACATTATTACCATATCCACGGTGTCCTCACGCACATGCAGCCGAGTTCGCTGACTTACAGTGGTTCTGAATTTTGTACACTAAAAGCACTGGCTGGAAGGGATGACGTTAACTAGAGTGTATGAGGTGTGTGGCTGGGCAGTGGCAATGTAACCAAGGACACCAAGGTCAGCCCACCACGCCTCTCTATCAGTGGTCGTAAAGCTGACATTTTATGGCCTATTCTCGCCTCGCTTATACCACCTACTGTTAACTACTGATAACTTTTACTACAGGTCTTATGATTTATATGACTACAGCTAACCTTTATAGAGATTTGTAGGACTATAAAATCTTAAGCCCTTGTATATGTCCAATGTAAACATGTCAATAACAACTAGTTTACTATTGAGCGGGCAATATCAATTAACATTTCATCAAGTGGGAAAGAAGCAGAAGCCATTATTACCACAAAGGATTTAAGAGACTTTTTTTTTAGATTGCTCCCCCCCCCCGAGGGGGCTAGTTTATTGGGCACCCCCTTACATCCTGTGCAAGGTGAAGCGCAGAAACGTTTACATTGCCCAACAGGGAAGTATGCGGAGTTCATGCTTGCCTTTATGACTCGTGCATTAAGGGAGTAAAAGCCTGAAGGGTAATGGGTTTTGTCAGCAAGTTACATAAGTGACAGAATGGTGAGTGTGTGGGGGGAAAATTCCCGGTACAATTTATCTGTTTATGGCAAAGCATGGCAAGTCCCTAATAATGTCAAGTGCCAGGCCATAGGCATTGACAATATGTCTGTAGAAGGGGACATGGGTCAAAGGTCAAACTGGTCCCAGCCTTTACTTTATGAACGTTACGAGGTTCATTAAACGACACCACGTCAACACCGGTCACCCATTAAACAAATATAGTGATAACCAAGAAATGTTACCCCCCTCAACCTTTACTCAGTGTCCACATATTGGCTACACCAAATTTCTCGGAACAGTTACATGGTTTTGAAATATTTGTGGAAATAATGGAACAGTAAATGTGACGCACTTGATTCGGAGTCATGATTTACCCCCGCCTCCCTCACCCATTTCATTTTCCGGGTGTTGAGCAAGTGAGAGTCCCGGCTGTTACGTCACGGCTCGTCGTCATGACAACCGTTTGTTTGGTCCACTGCGCCTCCCTCCCTCCTTCCTGCCTTCCTTTCCCCTCCCTCCTGGCTCCCACCATTCTGCCTCCGTGTCGCACTCCTCTCTCACTCGCCTCCTCCAGAACGTTAATCGACTTCTACCTCACACAAACCGACTCCCTCCTCATGTCGCTACTGGACTACTCAAATTAGACAAAACTGTACTCTTAATGAAAATATCCCGCCAATAATTACTGATCGGTTGTTTTATGAACATATGTGTCTGCCTCACGCTGTGTTCATCATGTAGACTCGGTCTTTACTCACGTTACAACCTGGGTCGGCCTCAGCAATAGCTCAGCAGTGCTCAGTTTTGGTCAGAACTGGACGGTCAAAATCACAGGTCATAAACCCACGCTAGGAAACACATGGGTTGGTCCCTGGCAGTATGGAGGGGATATTGATCTAATGTGTGACGTTTCATCTTTGTGTGTAATCTTATTCACTGTGTTTCATCTTTACTCAATAACTCGATTCTCTCTTCACTTCCTTCACAACACTCACTATACCGGACTTTCAACACCTCACCATCACTGTTTCCGAGTGCCTCATCGCCCGGGTTGGGTCACTGTTTCACTGACCCAGCCTGGGTGACCATTAGTGGCCCCGGAACAGCCCGAGAAATAAGACACGTGTATGACAGACCCGAAGTTGCCTGTCGCGGACCCAACCAACAAACAAAGATTGACACCATTAGTTTTTTGGGATAATAGTGATCATTATTGTGTGTTTACCTGTACTTGTTCTCGGAGCAAGCTAACTACTGTGTTAGCAACAAGAGATGCCCTAGCGATAAAAAAAAATGTCCTCTACCAATGCCATCCCCCCTCTCCCACCCCCCCTGCCTACTACTACATTACGCTCTCCCATTACCTAAATTTGCCCACAAAAGCCTCAATCAAATGTGATTTACCAGCCAGTGCAACACCCACCATTCACCTCCCCTCTGTCCCCACACACACACACACACATCCTCACCACTCAACCCTTGCAGCTATATCCCATCATAAACACCCACACCACTCACACCCCTCCCATTTACACCCCTCACCACTCAAACACCCTCCCATTTACACCCACACCACTCAAAACACCCTCCCATTTACACCACACCCTCCCATTTACACACCACTCAAAACACCCTCCCATTTACACCCACACCACACACCACACCTCCCCCCCCTCCCCACACACACAGGCTAACAGTTGAAACTTCCTAAATCTCTCCCTAATGTTTGGACACACTGGATGACCCATTCTGAAGGCCCCCCAACTCGTCGTCACTCACACACACCAATTTTCTCCACGGGGCAAAAATTCTGCTTAACAGTTTAATACGGAGAAAAAAAAATAAAAGAGGTTAGGTTAGGGTTTAAGGTATGGTTGAGGCGTCAGGCTGTTAAGTTAGGTCAGGTTAGGTTGTAAAGCATGGTCTAACTCTTAAACTACAGGCGTTAAGTTGGTTGAGCTCATCTTAAGACAGGTTTAGGGGTGAGGTACAGGGGATCAAGTTGGGTCAAATTCAGTACTACTAAACCAGACGAGGTTAGGTTAGGTTTTACTTGAGATGTAGTAAAGTGACTGCGACCATCAACAATCACTTCCTATATAATAAATGCTAAAAGACCCACCGCTGGGCTACCTCTGTCCCGTTCCTTCTCAGTTCACATCAACTCACATTACTTTACCCCCCCCCCCCAAACACGCAGTCTTTGGTGGACACAATATCTCAAGTTACACAAGTTTTCACTGATCTCTCTCTCCCATACACACACACACGCAGTATAATAGCTCTGTGTGTGTGTGTGTGTGTGTGTGTTTTATATTAATAATAATATGATACTTAACTGATTCATTGTTATTTTTATTAGGCCTACTATTACCGTAAATAAATAGCCCCATTAACACCCAGACATTGTCATACGGATTCGGAAAATCCTCCAAGTTTATCCCATTTAAAATTATATACAGCTTATAATACACCCATTCATATCAAGAAAAAAAACTAAACTAATAACAACAACCAATTTCTGGGTCCATTAAGTGTAGTTACTCAGGCGTTATGGGACGGCGCATAATTAGTTTAACGCCGCTAATGCCTTTACGATACCAGGATAAATAATACCAAGTTTCAAAACAATTCCCATCCTATTAAGGTGAATGAACGCCCACACACCAGGTCTGGGGGCGGCGTACACACACACACACACACACACACACACACACACACACACACACACACACACACACACACACACACACACACACACACACACACACACACACACACACGGCTTTTGTTAAACCACCAATGTATGTAATAAGTCATTTATGTCCAATGTATATTTTCAGCCTTCGGGCTGCAGAAC